CTTTTGTGGCATTTTGGATCAGCGAAGTATACGTGGTTCTTATAGATGGGTAATTATCAGTTTTCATTGGCATGTCATGGTTTTATTATCATCCATTGAATTTGGCATCATGTCATGGTTTTGGGCCCCAGAGATGACAATACAAGTTCACTTAAAGTAAAGCTTCAACCACTGGAAGGTTGAAATGAAAGTGCTCAGGAATGTAAGAATTCTAAAGTGACGCAGTATTCAGCACAGGTAAGAAATGGCATATTTTCTCGCGTTCCCCGCCATTCACCATTCACACGGTACTGGGTCTGTTTGAAAATGGTGGATACCTTTCCAAATGGCCGTTGCAATGGAGAAGATGATATTAACCCTCATATCAATACATGATTAGATATTACCCTCTGGTAATTTAACATAGCTATTGAAAATGGACCATTTATAGTTGATTTACCTATCCAAGATGGTGATTTTCCAGTTCGCTATGTTAGTTTACCATAGGGTAAATCCACACAATGAAACCACATACAAACTGATGAGGGTGCCCGGGTGCCCCAAATTTTCCAAGCCCATGGCCGCCTTTGTGACCCAATCTATTTAATAGTATGGTAGCTGAAGCATAGCCAGGGGACCAGCTCGATCGGATCAACTTGGCACAGGTGCACAGATGTAGATCAGGCACAGCGGTGTGGTCGATTTTCTACGGCTTCGGACTGAGTCTTGAAAAATTTTGGGGTACCCCAATTCTCATGCTTTCTCCCTGGCAAGAATTAGGGATTTGGGTGTATAACGGAAGCGTACCAAAAAAACATGGTTGGAGAAATCCAAAGCATCTCTCATGTTGACTGGTTGCTTTCCAGAATCGGTTTTTCTGTAGTCCGTTCAAGCAATCCACTGGCCCACTGGCCGTCGTAATCCCCAAAGACTCCCCTGATGTTTCATCCCGATCTTTTGATAATCCCAAAAATCCCTGTCTGGTTGGTGGTTTGGAACATTTTTTATTTTCCATTTCATATATGGGACAATCCTTCCCATTGACGAAGTCATATTTTTCAAGATGGTTATTGCACCACCAACCAGCTGTAGATATTTGGATATATTTTGGTATATTTGGTCATGGCAAGCCCTGAAATCAACCCACTGATTGGTCAATTCCTAGGACTAAGGTGCCAAGGTGCCAATGTAAGTCACTTGCGGGTGATTTCCCCCATGGTTTGGCTCGGTTCCATATGATAATCATGATAATTATACGTATATACACATATCTTGTGGTAGTTTTTTTTAAGATGTATAGTCATCATGTTGGTTGGCAGATCATTCTAATTTATATGGTCCATGAGACTGTCATTATAAAAGTATTTCGGTGTCTTTTGGTGATATAAACCTGTCCTTCCTGGTACCTTTTCTGCCAGGCTGAAACAAAAAGGCCCGGATCTGCCGTTTCACACTGGGATCCACTGGCTTCCCCGTTGTTGGATGCTTTGGGCTTACAAGCTAGTATTTACCAATGGTAATACCCTCTGGTAAACTAACATAACTGTGGGCAATTACCATTTTTAGCAGGTAAATCAACTATAAATGGGCCATTTTCAATAGCTATGTTTGTTTACCAATGGAAATATATGGAGGTTTCCGAAAACGGGGGCAGGTATACCCCCAAATGACCATTTTAGTATTGAAGTTCTATGGTTTTGGGGTACCCCTATTTTAGGAAACCTCCATAAAACCGGATGTTTGATAGGAATGTAAGGTGATGTATACTGATGTCAGGTGATGTATATCTGCCAGACATCCTTTTTAATGGGGATGATCAATTACCCCAGTCATACTTCCGAAGCTACGGCTGGATCCTTAGGGTCGATATAAACCGAAGGAGCTGCGACATAGTTCGCTATGGATGGAACATGATGTGTTTCCGATTTATTACCTGCGCTATGCAGCTATGTTGCCAAGGATATGCTACGCATTGCTATGTAAAAATTGGCAAAGGTCTTTGTTTGCAGTGGAAGTTGGCAAATCCAGCAACGGAAGTCCAGTGGCCCAGCTCGAAAAAAGCTCGAGAGCTGAGCCCCGCAATGGCGAAGTCCAAAAGGTGATGGATGTTCCTAGACCCTCCTTTTCTAGGGTTTATGGGTCAACTATGGTTTATGGAGGATACAACTATGGTGAATAGGTCTATAAATCAGTTAAAGCACTTTACCAATTATTTTGGTTATAAAAATGGTTGATACATTCCATAAATCAGTTTATAGAACTCTGACTTATAGCTGGTATTTCGGGCCGAAACTGTATAGGGTATTTTCCCCAGAATCTTTGGTTCATTACATTTCATTGCATTTCATTACATTTCATTAAATGTTTTTTCTTCATTAAACTTGCTTTTTGGGGATATGCCGGTTTACCCCATTTTCAGACGTGCCCATTTGCTGGTTGGCTTTCAGGGTTTCAGGGTTTCAAAGTGGGCCGAACGTGAAATCTGGCGTACCCTGGGTGGAAACACAGCAACCACTGGCTAGCCTGTAATTGTATCCCGCATGGCAGTTAAAATGAAACACCATTTGGCCATCAAACATAAATGATTTAATGGAAAATCTAGGTTTTACTGGGAATGTACATATATATATATAATATATATACGTACTTATGTATATATATATAGAGATATTGATTGGGGCATATGTTTTTTTTGCCTCAGATTCTGATCCGAACTGTGAAACCAAACTTGTGAGCGCAGTTCTAATGAACTAAGTGGATATGGTTGATATGGTTCACCGATCGCCATGGCCTATCCCAACTTGTGAAGGTGATCACCATAGTTTTTATTCCCATCAAAATGTTTCCCCCAATCAATGGGAAGTACAGGATCCTAAAATGGAGGTACTGTTCCATATAAGGCCATATTTTGAGGGGATATTCCCTTACATAGGCCAAAAAAATAGGCCTAATATATGGTAGGTACCTCCAATCAATCGGTTTCTGAAATGGCCATTGATTATATATCAGCCATTATATATATCATAGCCATAGTACTATTATGATTATCACCATTATATACCATGATATATCAACTGCGTGCCCAAGAACGACCAAGTTGTCTACAGCTCCAAACTCTGGGCAGGTCTTATGGCGTGGCGCCGATGAAGCCGATGAACGACGTCATGGCAATGTCTCAACAACAACATCAATGAAACATGGGAAATGGGCCAGTCCTTATGAAATCCAAAAATCAAAATACCATGGAGGATGAAACACTGTTCAATTAAATCGTATAAACAATTAAACAGTTAAATTAACCAGCACACTGTTCTCGCACAAACACTACCAGCTATTTCGATGTGAAAATCAGGGGCACGTTTGGTCTTGACCCATAAGAATGGTTCTTGGATTGCTTCCTCCATCCGCCCGGATGATGATCCCAATTGACTTTTTATATTTTTATATAGACATCTGTGATTATATATAGTGTATTATCTATAATATATATATACTATATATACAGTATATATATATATATAATGTAATATAAATGTAATGTAATATATAATATATATATAATATATAATATATTTTTTTTTATAATATTTTATATTATATACTATTTATATTATATTATATTATATATTACATGTTCTATGTTTTATATTGTGTATTTTATATTTATATATATATATATTATATTTTATATTTCATTTTAAATATTATATATATATTATATATTATATATTTTATATATTATATAATATATTTTTTAATAAAATATTATATACTATATATTATATATTATCATATATTATGTATATATATAATTATTATTTATAAAATAATATATATTAAATATATATTGTTTATTAAATTTAAATATATATATATTATTTTCTATATATTACATATTATGTTGTTTTATTTTAAATTTTGGGTTTTTTTTTTTATATTTTAATTTATTATATATTGTATTATATTATATATTGTGTATTGTATATCTAATATTATATATTGTATATTATATTATATATAGTATTATAGATATTATATTATATATATATGGTATTATAGATATTATATTACATATAATATCTATATAGTATAATACAATATATGTATATATATATACATATACGATAATATACAATATATAATATAACTTATAAGGTATATATATTATATGATATATACATTTTTAAATTATATATGATATATTATATATTATATATTGTATAGTATATATATTTTAGGGTTTTCTTTATTTTTCATATATTACGAAATACAATATATTTTATACTATATACTATATATTTTATATTATATATTATAATATATGTATATTATATTATATTATATTTTATTATATTATATTACATTACATTATTTTACATTATATTATATTACATTATATTATACTATATTATGTTATCTTATATTATATTATATATATGTTGTATATATGTATATATTATGTGTAGAGAGAGAGAGAGAGAGCGCGAGAGAGACTCTAAGAGATTCTAAGAGGCTTGGCCAAGAGTTCAAGAATGACCAGATCGTTGGACAGATGACAAATTGGCATCGTAATGCACCCACCTTTCTATAGTCCTGACATCAATTGTCCACAAGATTTGCAAAGCAGACACACAAGGTGGCTGAATCAACCTGGAGGCCTTTGGAAACAGCTCCTGTTTTCAATGTTCATGGCAGGTCAAGACCCTTGAGACAAGCACATTATTCACCGAGGTCGGGAGGTTTAAACATCGCCGCCGCCCCGCATGGCTCGACAAATAAAATGTTGCGAACATGGAATCCCTGCAGTGCGAACATGTCAGAAGCTGCAACCCCACATGTTCTTCAGTTCAGTTCCCCCTTCTTGTCATGTAACATACATATATATATAGAAATTGATCCAAGAAGATGTACGTTGCGTAAAGTTTCTTGTGGTCGACTGCTCCGAAGAAGAAGAACAAAAAAACATCGAACCATCCACCGATCCACCATTGTGACGACCGTCGAGTGACGACCGCGTGACGATGACGAGTTTCAATAAAGCGGCACCGGCGCCTGACCTATTGGCGCCTCGGAGCAGGGTCCCGGATGCTGGGAAAAAAATGGTCGAGTTTTCATAAGAAAACTTGAGAAATTTGTGAATTGGATAAAAAGGGGATGATTAATGGTTTGATTTCAGAACTTTGTTTGACTTCTACTGATTCTAGCAGGGTGTAAACCTATCTTTTTCGAAGATACTATGCTTTGTAATGATATGTGATCAATCGAACAATCTCGTTGATTCTCACGACTGTGATATACTTAGCAGTTTGATGCGGATATTGGAGGGGTTGCAGTTCCTCGGACTGTAGGATACAAGCGCTGGTTTGTTCTTGCCCATACTGAGAAAATGTACCCCAAGGTTTCCTAGCCAAAGTTGGATTAATGCACATGGCTTGCTGCACAAATGGATGGAACGGGATTTTCCTTCTGCAGCTGTTCTCCTTTTCCATTGGGGAACTGCGCAGCCTGGAAAAGACATGAGATATACCCTCTGGTAATTTAACAGTTCGCTATTGAACATGGCCCTTATTGAAATAGATGATTTATCCATTTATTGATGGTGATTTTCCAGTTCGCCATGTTAATTTACCAAAGGGTAGATGAGGTTCTTCATTTTGTGGCGAGAACACCTCCGCTTTGAAGGCTGTTGCAACCATCCAGTTGGGCCACTTGGGTCTGACAAACACTGAATAGTACCCTCTGGTAAACTAACAGTTTGCCATGGTATAGATGGTAGAAATAGATGGTTTACCTATTAAAAAATGTGATTTTCCATGGCTATGTTAAATAACCAGATGGTAACCATCAGTAAACATACGGTAACGACATTCAAATATGTGGGTGTGCCAGACTGCGAGGCTTTGTATATTTAAATGTAGTTACCGTATTACACATATTGATCATTCGGTAATATCATCATCACATACTGATTGATTCATACAAATTAACCATATTAACATATATTAACCATATTGGTTGTGATTCCGAAAACCATATGAATTATAATTTGATTGCTATAATAACCATATTAAGCGCATATTAACCAATAAGAACCATATTAAACATTATAAACCATATGAACAAATTATATTAAACCATATATGAATCACCAAAAATAACCTCTCCCTAAACGTTTGTCGAAACTCGCCTTTTGGCTCCCCAAACCGCGGGAGCGCCATCAATCCGCAGAAAAAAAAACGAGGCGTCGGAGCCACAGAAGACTCAAACCTTAGCGAGTACCGTACAACCAGGCCATGGGACCTTTGGAGCATGCTATCCATTGGTTAATATTGGTGAATAATGGTGGTTAATATTGGTTAATAGTGGTTAATAGTGCTTAATAGTGGTTAGTAATGGTTAAGAATGGTACCCGAACGCTATCTGGTTGGTGGTTTGGAACATGAATGATATACTTTTTTCCATTTCATATATGGGATGTCATCCTTCCCATTGACTAATATATGGGATAGATAATCCTTTATTGAATGGTACCCGAGATATGAACTATACTGTTGTTAGCCTTTAATATTCACAGTTAATAGATATTCTATATGTTGTTAATTATCATGGGACTTGCTATATATTGTTATTGAATGGCTATATGTTGTTAACCAATCCAATAATCCAATGACTATCTAGACATATATTAACTGAAAATAGAAAATCAACATATCAAGGAATAAATGAATGGTACCCTATACATGAACTACACTGTTGTTGATATTAAATTAAAAAACATAAAATTCATAATCATAATATATGTAAAGGGCAACATGATATTTGGCTGTTGATTGGTTCGGGGTTGTTGTGCTTGTGTGAGTGTCAGGGTGTCAGGGGTGTCATGATCCAAAGTCATATGTACATAAACCCATGGACTATAGTTGTAAGTACCACAAACCATAGTGATTGGAGTAATGTGGTCCCCAACTTAGCTATAAACCAGCTATAATTCCCATGCAATCCCCATATTTCTCTTGGATAAATCGCCATTTTCCTATGATTTTCCGATCCCGGCCTTAGAACTTTGCCAGTCTCTGAAGTTGCCGGTGGAAAATCCACTAGTTCAGATGGTTTTCCGAGAGGAAAACCATGGGTTTTCGACATCTGTTTGTATGTCTAGGCCCTAGGGTAAGAGGTGTATTGCTCTTCAGATATGAAAACCTCCCCGGATATCTCATAATTGATTTATTCGAATTTTATTCGATGATTTTCCAAGGATGGGGAGTTTCCATATATTCCATATGATTTTACTATCTATCAGATGCAACTTTCCAACCAGGTTTGAGTCACTGGAAAATCCCAGGCTCTGCAGATCCACATCGTTGGTATCTTTTTGGTGGTGAAAAGTGAAAACATGGTGTTTCCAATATGGTTTTCCTGGAAATGATGGCCCCATTTGACAGTTATTTTTGTTTTTTTTTTGAAAGGATAGACTCCCATGAGTGAGGGATCGAACTAAGTGGTGGATTTCTCATTGTGATTACTGGAAGGTTTTTTCATATTCCCAATTGCAAATCGTGCCATATGCCCAAGCCCAGCAGAGAATACCATATAGATACAATATAGACACAATAATTTTAATTTGATATATAACAGGACGGCAAGACCCTATGGTTTGCCTGCAAGGTTAGAATGGAGTTCAAATATTATCCTTCGACATGCTCAAAAACCTGCGCAGGGCCAGTGTTTTGGTACTACCAGCCGACGAACCCTAAACCCTAAAACCATGAAAACTCTAAATCCGAAAGCAGAAAATATTACGTATACGCAGTATTTTCTGCAATTTCTCATGCTCTTTGACAGGGAATCCTCAATGGGCCACAGGGGTCTGTGCGTAACAGGTCGTAACAGCTATAACTATAGTCTCACGTCTATTGGATCATCTAAACAGTGGTCATACATCATGGATGGCCAGGGCTGGAGCATCGGCCCTTCAGCGACGAGGAGATTAAGGAGGTGCGGGAGGGTGAGGCGGTGAGGCCGGAGGCTTTTTGAGCGAGCTTTGTGACTTCGAGTGATCTCCACCCTGACACTTATTTGATCTTATTTGTCATAGTTTCTTACATATCATCTGGACATATATAAATATATATATATATGGTATAATCTTCTGACATTCTATTTACCTATATGTTTGATTATTTTTGCATGGTTTATGCCAGCCATTTATAGAAATGGCAATTTGTGGATTCTCGATCTCTCGATCCTATTGACAAACATTACACTCAGAGGGTCACAACCTTTTAGTGATGTAAGGTGCAATGGCCTTAAGCAACCAACTTCTCGGGATTTTCTGCGGTATCCTACTTGGTGGTTTCTTTTATATCATTTCATATCAATATCTTCAACCAGATGTGGTTATTTTTGAGAATATATCATCAATATCCTACCTGGTATGGTATCTTTAAAGATTTTTTTTTACATCACCATACCCAAATGGTCCAGCAGATGTCAGTGCTGAGTCGCACCAGGCTTTTGCCACCTTTGATCTCGACAACAACCGTTTCGTGGGCGCAGCCGAGTTGGGGAACCCATGGTTTTGGCCGTCGCCAGGGCCACTGGGACATCTTTGAGAAAAAAAAATCACTGGAACAATGGGATTCAAGATGATTCAAACATAATATCGTGGGGGTTTGCGCAAAATGGACTACAGGTGACTAAACCCCAATAAATGGACTGTTGTTTGCCCTGTTTGTTTTTTCATGTCTATTGGGGTTTATTACAACCCATACATTATGGCAATCCCACTCTCAACCAACCGCCGTTTCTATCAACTATATGAATATATATATATATATAATATATATATATATATCATGTATTCCCACATGTTCATGGTTTAAATTTCTATTTAAAGTTCCATTTTAAATGAATAGAACATCAACCAACAAGGGCTTAGATTTGAAGATATAGTTCATATAAACCATCATGTTATTCATTGATTACCCTCTGGTAAACAAACATAACTATGGAAAATCACCATTTATAGCTGGGTAAATCAACTATTTCGACTGGGCCATTTTCAATAGCAACCTGTTTGTTTACCAGAGGGTAACTTCTATTAGTGAAGAATTATTAGCCATATTGGTTAGTAACGATTAGTATTATCCCCGTACTAGTCATCAACCACCGGTTGTGTGTTTAGGGATGACACAGGGATGGTTTACTGCTGGAATATGGCAATCATCGCACCACGAATCCATATGAACATGTATATATACACATAATATCATACACATATAGCAATAACACACACACATATATATATATGTATATTATATATATATATATACACATTAATATTTATATATATATAGATAGACACATGTTAATTATTTCACTCTAGATGCCAAAGATAGACCTTATTCACACATCACGGCCGGATGCAGTGAATCCGAAACGGCCGGCATCTTCTGCCCATAGTCCAGTTCTGGGTCAACCTTGGATACGTAACTTTAGTACTTTAATCTTGTGCAATTTCGAAAAACTAGTCCATTCACCAGCTAAACATGTTTTTTTTTTTCGGGCAGGTATCTACAATTTGGGCTCCCCCAGTTCTAATTTTCTTTATAAACCCTTGAATACAATAGTTATGAGTACCATAAACCATAGTGAAATTGGAGTTATCTGGCCCCCAACTTAGGGATTTCGTGCTTTCCCTGTGGCTCCACATTTTAAGATTCACAACGGTGGCAGGATCTCGCATATCTTGAAGCTCATCGGCGAAGATGTGTCACACCAGGACGACCGGGGAGGTTCCCACATTGTACGGATCTAAAAAAAACTGCAAAATCTCTGGTTTCTTAAGAGGTTGCTATGGAAAATGGCCCATTTATTCCCATTTATAGATTATGACTGTGCTGGTTTAGCTATAAAATTAGGTGATATGAAAAATATGTCAAATCACCGGCTGCGAGAAGGTACCTTAGGCTCCCCTAAAATCATACCTCAGTCATATTTCCTAAGCTATGGCTGTATCCACAGGGGCATGATCCCCTTTCCACAGGAAGTTCCACCGAAAAGGCACGCACCTTACATGCCACGAAAATCCTTCCGCCCAAAGCTGCAGCAACTGGCAGATTTTCTCCGAACAAATCCCTTGGCATTACATCAGTTGTCTGATGTTTTTATTGAAAATGAGGCATACCCCCCAAGTTTTCCAGCATTTCGGAGGGAAAAAACATGGTGATTAGGTGATTCCCAGATTTTTATAATTTTTTACCACCAAATTTCTGCAACAAATTCCAGCGGCCAGGAGGTAGATGAGATGATCAGAATGTGCGATTCTGATGGTGATGGCCAGGTGAGATCAGGTGTAATTTTCAGGGCATTTCAGATCTACTATGCAACATTGTATTATCTACATATATAGATCATGTATATTATATATAACCATGCATAGTTATATGATAATGTTTGGTGGTTATATCCAAATTGTCAGTGGCTTATTTCACTATGGTCAAATATTCACAAAACTCCAAACTTCTAAAAAAGCCCTTGTCAGGTGACCTTTGATGAGTTTTACAAGATGATGACCACACCAGCTCCGCCTTTGCCTCCACCGGTGAATTCCAACAAGAAGAAACCTTACTCCGACAAACTCGGAGGTGCCAAGAGGCCAGCCGTGTCCTGGTTTTCGGTGAAACCAATGTCTTAAGGAAACATGTAAAATGGACGTTGAGGTGTCCAATTCCCTATGTTTAATTCCTATATCTTCCTATGTTTGATTGTTTGACATGTAAAACTCATTGAGACAGACACTTCCGCTTCGGCACCTGTACTAGCATGCAGCAGCACCGAGAACTCTCGTCGGCCTAGCAGATACGGCTGGTGACCAGCCTCTCGAGGTACGCGAAGCAGCTCACAGAAACAGGCTCCCAGGGGGCGCAGGGGCAGGACTTGGCTGATACCATTTGGTTATTTAACATAGCCATGGAAAATCACCATTTTTAATAGGTAAACCCAGGTAAACCATCTATAAATGGGCCATCTATACCATGGCTATGTTAAATAACCATAGGGTATTTACAGTTGCCATCGATCTTTTTTTTCCAGTGGTTTATCATGATTTATAATTTTGTAGTCTATTTGCTCTTCATTTTTCTGCTATGTAGCAATTTGAGCCATACATTGAGGTTTGCCCCCATGGGTACCGCTAGTCATCCATTTTGGCCGAGCCTCATACCTGGACCAGCTGTAGGTCCTACCTTCGCACAGAAGTCTGGGGCGCTCAGCACCGAACTTTTTTTTTTGTGGAAAGGTTTAAGTTGGAGATAAGAAGGTCAGGAACATGTTCCTGTATCATGGGATGATTCTGTAATATATGAACTCTATGCTTTATAATGGTTAATAGTAGGGTTGCTGGATATTGTTCATGTCTAAATGTGATATATATATATTATATGATATGTATATGCATACAATCAAACATATATATATATATATGATTAAACATGTGACATGTGGTACCGCGATCAAGATATCTTGGGAATAGTCTATCGCATAAATATTCACCATGAAAAGTCACATATTTCCTCTGTTACAATAGGATGGATAATATCTAATATCTGTGGTTGATATTGTTCACAAATCATTATATAATTCTACGGTTTAGATCCAAATTCTATATTAAATAAGACTTACTGTACTCTCTGGTAAATTAATAGTTCGACCCCGAAAATCACCCACTTTTGGTGGAAACTAATCTTCCAACCTCTATCTGCCAGGGTCTATGTTAATTTACAGAATGGTATTTTTCAAACTTGGTTAGTTTCGATATGATTCCGTGGAAAGCCATGGAAACATGGCCACACGAGGTCATACGTAACCAGAAAAGAATCAGCCGCTAGTCATATGGGCCATATGGGGCTAAAAATCGCAGCCTCCTATGGTTTCCATGGTTCCCTGCAGCTTGCGATCGCATTTTTAAGTTTCTATGAACATACCCTCCGGTGTCATCAAACGTGGCAAGCTGGGAAATCCACTAGAAATGGTGGTTTCAATAGGAAAATCACCGAACTAAATAGTTGGTTGGTGGTTTGGAACATGTTTTATTTTTCCATATATTGGGAATAATCATCCCAACTGACTTTCATATTTTTCACAGGGGTTGAAACCACCAATCAGATAGTGTATTTTCCAGCACGCCATGTTTGATGACACCGGAGGGTATTTTTTCTACACCATGGCCTTTAACATGCTACCTCGACCAACATGCCCAAGCCATAGGTTTTTATCAATCTTTCCGCCAGGATGATACGATGGTCTTGGTGGGGGATTGCACTTGCTGGTTGGAGAATGTTGGAGATATTGAAATATACATATATATATATTTATATATAACAGTTTCTACATGAACTAACATATTTATTTATACTGTTAAATATGTATATTATCGCATACATATATATACATATTCTATTGTCGTATATAGTTCACCTACTATGTCGACGCATTTTTTGGGTCGTAAGTTCGTTGCAAGAATGGCTATCACAAAGATAGAAAATATCCCTATGCAGTGAACCATTCTTCTAACCATCCAGAAAAGATGGATGCCCGCTGATGAGGGCTTTATCCACCTACACGGGATCACCATCCACAAATTAGTTGTTTGCAATCCAATTACTTTATGATGGTTCTTGTATGTGTACAGGTTCATGCTTATGGTTGACTATTATTGGATATTAATGGATTTTGAATGAATAATTTATTTGTTGCAGCAATCTAATGATCAAACCACAACTTCATTTATTGACCATCATCCAACTCTTAGTCAGCTTTCACCCATTCTTTGCGAAGATCAGGATAGCCAAAAAATCGTCCAACAACTTCACAAACCTCCAAGCACGTACAAAAACACCCAATACCCAGCCCTAAACCACATACGTATATAATACGGTTCGATTATGTATATGCATATTATATGCATATTATATCATATCATATCATGTCATGTCATATCATATCATATCATATCATATCACATATATATTTATATATCGTCCAAACATTGTTATATGTATATATATATATACATATACGTTTCTATGATACTGTGGATGGAAACAATCATGCACCAGCTACGGTAGATAGCTAATCCATTTTTACAGTGTTTCATACTTACCTAATGGCTACCAACTGCGGGATTTCGCAACCATCCTGCAGTTTTTTGCCTTATATCCTCATGGTAGATTCCCCATAGTGAATTTCCCATTGGAAAAATAGAAAAAACTAGCCATAAACCCATCTTCAGAAAATCCAGGAATACCATAAATTTATCCAACATCTCCTTCTATCTCCATTGCCCATAAATTTACCCCTCTGGTAGTTTAACAGTTCGCCATGGAAGCCATGGCCCATAGAAATAGATGGTTTACCATGGTTTACCTATGAATAGCATGGTGGATCTTTTCATGGCGAACTGTTAGTCATAACCAGATGGTATCCAACATCGTCCGAGGGCGAAGGAGGAACTGTCACAGTTCAAGGGCGATTGGCGCGCGCAGCAAGCGGCTGCCGGTGGCAACGCGCGGGCCCATGGCCGGGGGGTTCGTTGGTCGGGACTCGTCCCAGCTGTGGGGAAACAAAACCATCTGATTTATCCAAGAAAATGGTGGGTTTAATCCGATTTATAGCTGATTTGTGGTAGCTAAGTGGACCTTATTAGACTTGGGTGTGAAGATTTTAGTTGATTAGGTGGATGTAACGAACTCTTTGATGGATTTACACAGCAACAAACATGACTGGAGGGGCCTCACCTTTTATGTGTTTAGACTACGAGATATGCCCTCTGGTAAACTAACATAGCAATGGAAAATCACTATTTTTAATGGGTAAATCCACTATAAATGGTCCATTTTCAAAAGCTATATGTTCAAAATATGGTTTTACAACGAAGCTGAACTTGTTTGGGTTTGACGTTAAAAATCGGATGTTGATGTTGCAAGGTTTTTCCACGTGAGCTCAAACATATTTGGGCTTGGAACCAGCCAACTGAGGTTGATGATGTAGCCTTATTGAAGTCCAATAATACTGTAGTCCACGTTTGAAAGTATTCAGTCCTGGGCCAATCACCTATCTCAGCGCCCCTAAAACTCAGTGAAAACAGTCCACAAGTCTGTTCCTGCATTTCTCACATAGCTTCAGGATTTATGTAATACTATGTCTCATTTTGGACAGTTGAAACTTGAAACTTGAAACAATCACAAATCAGCTTTGTGATTGCAGTGATGGTACCATCCTGTAAACTAACATTTCGATGTGGAAAACCCACCATGTATGTAGATCATCAAACCCTTGGGTTTTCCTTGATTTCCCATGGCTTTTCCACCTCGCTTTGGAGCAGTTTACCCCAGGGTATATTCCCAAATTTGATGGTTAACTCATTATTCTTGCTTATAACCACCATTATAAAACTATTATAAAACAGTTATATAGTTATATATATATATTGTAACAATTATTATTCATCATTGTATTACATATTATATAACCAATCTTATTTCCATGATTATTCCATCCCAACCATGTTCATCTTTAGCAGTAAAAACACCAGGCGCAGGATCGACACCATCGCTCCGTGACGGCGCGGACCGTGGCCGTTGGGATTTGTACAGGGTGAATCGAACGGGGAAGGAAAATATCCTTTATGCCGGTTTTATCATAAATGATTGTAATCAATTTAAATTATAGTGATAAATGGTTTATGGTGATTATAAATGGTTTTAGTTATCAATTTACCAAATTTAATGGTATTGGATCCTTTGTGGTGATCATCATGGTAGTATAATCATGGTAAATATCATTTATTATTTATATTTACATGGTAGACAAACCCAAGTTTTATATTTGGTATATGCTGGGTAGTCGTAATCAACTATGACTCGAAATCTACCTGGATTTGCCTGAATGTGCGGAAGAGGTTTTTACTGTAATTTTTTCCACTGGAAGATACCACTGGGGAATCTATAGGGCAGATGTTTTATTTTTGCGTTTTTTGGGTGTTCCTTGAGCAAATTCAAGTTTATGGTGGTTCATGATTGATAAATGATTGTTGCATGACTACTTTTCTGGATATAGTAGGGATAATCATGAACCATGAGTTGATAATCACTATTGACCATCAGGGATTTTTCAGTTTTTGATACTGCTTCAGTAGATGCTTCTAGTATCATGGCCTTAGTTGGCTCAAGCAGTCACGACTGGCTGTAGCCAGCGGGTTCCTCTTCCGTGTTCAGCGATGAAGTTCGCACTGTGGGCATGGCTCCTGTTCGTGCAAGGGAACGGCACTTCCTCAGGGAAAGATGTGTTCATCTCTCTCGAGAACTGTGACAAGCAGTACCTTGGCCGTGGGTCGGTGTTAGGCCACTCAAGGTGGCCACAGCGGAACTGGCAACTGGAGCAGTGGAAGTGCCGGGAACCAGATGGAACCGGTGATTCGGAACGATGACCTGGACCGGGTGAGATCTATGAATCTATGATCTTATACCCTCTGATAAACATACAAACAACTATCGAAAATCGCCATTTTAATGGGTAAATCCATTATTTCTATGATCTATGGCCATTTTCAATAGCTATGTTAGTTTACCAGAGGGTAATTCTTATAACTTACAATGGTACATGGCAACCATGACACAGATAGAAACGAGAATATTTGTTCACTACTAAAGAGTAGGATTCTACTTTTCTATTTTTGGAGGAATACTATGTGGATGGACGGTAAGTTGATGTTTGTAGGTCATCATAGATGTGGAATATCCAGCCTTTTATTTGATCGTTTCCCGGAAGGGGATTCCCATGTTATTATTTTGTTCAGCCTCCAGGAATCATACATGGCGATAGAAAAAGCCTTGTTGACGTTTGTTCTTGAAGCCTCCATTTTTTTGCAAATTTCCCAGCCAACCCCAGGGTTGTTGCACCGGTACGAAAAACCCTGGCTGAAGCGTCATCCCAGTGCCATGAGATGGGCACCACAGATGTAAGTTTTTTGTTGGTATTATACAATGTGAGGCCCCATAGATAGCTAAGTTGGTGAACATAAGTCCAATAACTATGGTTTATGGTATTTATAACTATAGTTAGATGGGCTTATAAACCAACTTATAACTGGGGGGGCCCACATTATATACCCTCTGGTAAACTAACATAGCTGTGGAAAATCACAATTTTATAGCTGGGAAAGTCAACTATTTCGACTGGGCCATTTTCGATAGCTATGTTTGTTTACCAGAGGGTAACCATTCAATACTTGGGCTACTCAAAGTTGACCCATAACTGACCCATACTACAATAATGATAGATATGGCAGACGTACATATAGCCAGCTATGCAAACACTATGGACATATGAATGGGGTTGTCTCAAACAAGTGGAATTCAAAAAACCAACCGTGCATCATGACTTCCCCCCATTGAAATAACCATATCTTGAGGCGTATCCCTGTTCAAGACAAACCCAAAGTCTTCAGTTGGTTAAAGGGCCATGATACCCTCATACCCCCCTCTAATCCCCATGACCCAAAGCCCCAGTTTTCAGGTAAATCACCATCAAAATGATGGTTCAATCCCCATCTCCACAAATCAGGTGTCCCCAATGGGGTGCTAGTGAAGTTCCCCATGTTGGGAGGTGAAATTCGCCATGTCGAAATGATCATTTTATACTGTGGATGGGCCAGCGAAATCCGAATCACCAGTTGATAGATGGTAAACATCCCATTTAAAAACCATCCTTTTGGCGCAGGATTTCTGCCACAGTATCCTCATTTTTGGCCAGGTTGAGGCGTTAATCCACAAGTTGTCGGGTGGCATGGGAAAGATCAAGCCGTCCCAGCCAGGGGCGCCCAGGGTGCCCACGGGGAGAGGAATGAGAAGGGTCCAGAGGTGAAAGAAATGGCTGCTTTAGCATTGTATTTCAATGGTGATTAATGGATATTGTGATATGATACTATATAATACTATATAATACTATATAATACTATATAATACTATATAATACTATATAATACTATATAATACTATATAATACTATATAATACTATATAATACTATAATACTATATAATACTATATAATACTATATAATACTATATAATACTATATAATACTATATAATACTATATAATACTATATAATACTATATAATACTATATAATACTATATAATACTATATAATACTATATCATACTATATCATACTATATCATACTATATCATACTATATCATACTATATCATACTATATAATACTATATAATACTATATAATACTATATATATATGGATATTTTTTTGATACTATTATATTATGATATAAATATACCTAGTGCATCAAAAACCCACAAACATGTAGGTATTTTTCCAAACATATGTTCTTTCTTCAGTTGTGAAAAACATTTTTTCTCAGAAAATACGTGTTTTTTCTTTGCTTAAAAAAAAAAAAACTACTTTTTCTCACACTTGGTGTCATGACATCTCATGATTCGTTCCCTTAGACGATTCAAACCCCTTTATTGATACTAGCCTTGGATCTATCCCTCTCAGTATCCTTCATGTTGATTATACTTCCACCCCGATGGCTTTGGCTGGCAGGCAGTTCTCACAAGAAAGGGCCCGATGCTCTTGGAACATGTCGGACAACATTAAGTGCGATCACAGTCAATCTGGAGTCGTTTGATGATTTTTTCCCAAGAACCACCCCTAGAAGCATAAATGGTTGTATTTTTTTCATTGGGAAAAAATGATTCTGGTTGCCAAAGTCCAACAAACAGTCAAACAAAATTATCGAACAACCATGAATAAAAACATCAAAAATCAATCGATTTTTTTTATATAGTTTTTAATCATGTCGGATGACACTTTTAGGGTCCACACCCAAAAAATGCCAAAAACCCATATTTTGGCCGTAGTAAGCCGTACAAAACCCATATTTATCCCGTACTAAACCCATATTTTGCTATAATAGAAAAACACGGTCTTTGGGAACCCATATCTAAACCGTATTAAAGCCATACTAACCGGTACTCAAAATATGTTTTTTTTGCCTCTGGGAATTGACGGCGCGACGTCGAGTTTTAAGGCTCCGCTTGTCGTTTTGCAAGATCGAACCGGTAATTGCCTGATCCAGACAAAAAGGAAACAACGCAGATTATCGGAGTTATTTTCAATCGGAGCCTTTGATATTCCATGCGTATCCATAGTGACTTTTTGACTACCTCCAGTCCCGCTGAAGGGAAAGTTCGCAGCATAGGAGGTAAGGTAACTGCAGCCGGTGGAGAACGCGCGCATAGTGTGATAACGCTTGCTTAGTTTCGATCGCGCGTTCTGTCTGACAGATTTCAGAAGTCGTCAGTATGAAATTGCTACATGTAATGAGGAGAAGTTTGATACAGGTCCACCCGATGCGGACAAATTTGTGCAAATCCAACAAAAACCAAAATATAGGTTCTTTACAAAAAAAACGTTTTTTCTCAAAAACTAGTTTTTCTTCACTGGACCTAAAATTGTTTAGGTCTGAAGCTCCTGTTGCACATATAATCTGAAATAATTATATATAACTATTGGATTCTTAGCCCCTATATATGAAGTGATCATTTCGTTGTCTTTGAATCAGTCGGAGCGGCACCTAGGGAACCCAGAGATCTTTGGCGGTTCCAAAAGCTACCACAGATCACCAGACCTTCAGATTTCACACCACCCCCGAAAAACAATTACCCTCTGGTAAATTAACATAGCTATTGAAAATGTCACATTTATCGTTGATTTACCCATAAACAATGATTTTCCATAGTCATGTCAGTTTACCAGAGGGTACCTGTAGTCAAAACCTTTGAATTTACGCACATTTGGGGATTTATTCACATCCATAAACCATCTATTTTGTTGGGTACCATCCGGATACCCGGCTTTTGACTCATAGCCATATGAGTACCTTCGACTCACAAAAGGGTCAACCCTGGATTTTTTGTCCAGGATCAAGAAGATCTACAAACGTTTCGGGGACCGCTGGGGACCGGGAAAGCCCAGTGATGGCTAAGTTCCTTGAAAAAACACCATGAATAGATGGAAAAATAGTATAGTTATGAATAGCATAAACCATGGTGAAATTGGAGTTATGTGGCCCCCAACTTAGCAGTTGGGGGCCCCACATTCTAATTGTTTGTTGGGCCTGTTTCGATGTCAGAAATCACCAATCGCCACAACAGTGACCACAGAAGATCAGCGTAGATTTTCCCCATCAGAAGTGATAGATATTGGTATAGTGCTCACACAGAAAAAAACACCTTTAGCACCATTACCCTCTGGAGATATTTTTTTTTGTTTGCGAACTGGAAAATCACCATTTTGAATAGGTCAATCATCATGTTTATCGCACTAGCCACGGGCCATGGCTTCCAATTCGCAACGTGTTAAGCAGAGGGTAAGCGCACCGTCAGATCAGATGTGAACAGCCTTTGATTCAACCTTCTCCAGGACATCGATGTGGACAAGAGTGGAGCCATCGATTACGAGGAGTTCATTCAGGCGAGGTTTCCCCAGATTTCGGAAGAGTTTTTTGGGGATGTATCAAACCTATAGGTTCATGTTACATTACATAATAATATAATACTATATATGGGTTGATATTACCCATTATTACATGATGATAGGTTGATATTTCATGTTCATTATACATTATTACATTATATCATCATATGCTGCACGGATGAACATCCATGTGCCCCCTAAAAGGTTTGGTATGAACTGTCAAGGGGTGCCCATGTTGAACTGACTTCTAGCCATATCACCCTCTACAGGCGGCACATCCAAGGTACGACTCAGGGACCTCCTAAATGCATAAAAGGGACGCAGAGGGTTGACACTGTCCTCTTCCTATAGGTTCAGGATCTGATTAAGAGCTACATATATAAGTTATATGAAGCTATGTAATTATATAATATTATATATAATAATATATATATATATATATTTAATAATATATATATAATTATACATTATATATATATACATATTGTGGGGCCCCCGTTTACGACAGCTAAGTTGGTGAACACAACTTGGTGAACTGTTAGGTTTATGGATGTTTAAGGGTAATATTTGGGAATGTAATAATGGGGTTTATAAATCTTGTAATATGTTGTACAATGTGGGCGCCCCCAGTCATAAGTTGCTGTAGTACAATTTTGGTTTATGAATGTTTTGGAGCCGGTTGCTGGAGAACTGCCTTGAACCTTTATTAAGCATTTGGTTAGAACCAGGAGTTGTTCATGCCAGTTGTCACGGAAGTTCTACCGGCCTGACAGGCCATGGACATGGAAGACACCAACATTGCCAGACAAATGTTCCGAGTGTTTGATATGGAACCTTGGCGGCACCAACAAGTCAAATGGAGGTAACGTTAGGTTAAGTGTTTGAACCATGAAAAGTAGGGGAACTATGGGCAACTGTATATTTTTATAACCAACAATTAAGGGAAAATATCATGGGAATATCATGGCTCAGCTGATTTACAGATCCATATCGGACGGCTCGGCTTTATTGCCTTGGCTTTGTCTGGTGTCCCCAAGAATGGATGGCAAATTTCATCATTTTCCCCATGAAATGTTCATCATTGGGGGGAAACATCATATTGTCAGACCCAGTATCAGTCTTGTAGTGCAACTCTGTTTTCTTTTTCCCACCTTCAGGAAACACCTAATCTGGGTGGAAAATAATCCGAGATGGGTCACACGGCCATTTCCCGGAATTGCCTGAAGGGATTTTTTCAGTATTTCCGGCAACAACTTTGTGGGACATTTCACCATGGTTTCAACCGTAAAACCCATGCATTGAATTGATTTAAATGTGTGTTTGTCAGAACATTGGATAATCATCATTTCCGCATCAAAATAAAAATAAAATGGCCAGAACTTGGAGATTCAAATCCCATTTTTGGAGACTAAATCTACAGTTATGGCCCTTTAAATACCAGTTATAAGTACTGAACTAACCCCATGGAATATATAATCCCATAGAAATCACCAGTTATCTCACCATCATTCATCACATGTTTAGCCACTATTAAGCATTATTAACAACTATTCATCACTATTCATCACCATTCATCATCACCAGTTTGTTCACTACTTTATTACTTATTACCAGTTATTTCACTATTGATCACCATTAATCACCATTAACCATTATAGAAATAACCAGTTATTTCACTGGCAGCCATGGCATGCCATGGCCATTTTTCTGGTCCATGTCTTCCAAGGACGGCTCTGGTAGCATTGAGCTTAAGGAGTTCATCGTGGTCCTGTCACGTTACACCGCGGCGTCTTGGCCAAAGGCTGGCAAGTGGAGATATACTCCATGTTCGGATAGAGCCATGGAAATATGTACGTATGTATAATAATAATATATATATATATATTTAATATAATATAATATAATATAATACAGTATAATATATGATATATAATATAATACAATATAATGTAAAATAATATGATGTAAAAATAATATAATACAATATGATATAATATAATATATTATGATATGATATAATATAATATAATATGATATAATATAATATAATATAATATACTTAATATGATATGATATAATATAATATAATATATGTATACATATTGGTGATAGAGATCAACTTTATACGTATGGTCAGCCCAGTGATATGTGGATAAATGAGCAGCCACCACCACCACCACCACCACCACCACCATGTGACTCATTAGCCAGCTACTTGTACTAAGTTAGTTGTTCACAAGTTACTAGCCGGGATGCACATCCAAATGGGCGCATTTCAATCCTTCAAGTCATGCCTGCAAAAAGATCGAGCAGGAAAAAATATTTATCTTACTGACTTATTGGGTTAAAACCATCTATCTTACTGGCTTCTTATGTTTTTTTTTTTTTAATAGGTGTTCTGACTATTGCTGATTCCAGCTTGGACATACGAAGTATTTTTGGTTGAACCGTTCATTTTGGAGGTGAAACCATAAACCATGCGACAGACGGGATCATTTCCCCAAAGCTATCAGACCACAAGCTTCTTTATAAGTTTTAGTTTATGTTAAACTGTGATGGTTTCCTCTTGATCACATAAACCATAACACAGTTGTATGGTTAGTTATATGAATTAACCACGTTTTGTTTTTAACCATATAACTTTGTTATTGTTAAACTGCTAAATTTCATCACAATTTCCCCATTTACAGTTCATAATTCCCCCATTTGCAGGGCATTTTTAACAAAAACTGCCGAGCTACCACGATAAAAGCAGGACTGACCAACCTCCCTTAAAACTATGTTTTAGTTCACCAGCAAACATGGGAATATAACATGATATAACATGATCTAATATGATGGTAATATGTTTTTAAGGGCTTAATAACCACCAAGAATCAATTTAGTAAGGGCTTAACATAAATCTACAATGTGGGGCCTGCCAAGTATGTTTGTTGCTTTATAAAACCATTAGCTAGTTCGGTATAAGTATCATAAGCCATACTTATTGGACTTATGTTCGCCAACTTAGCTACTATAAATCAGCTATAACTCCCATTAAATCTCATTTGTTCTTGTATAAATCACCACTTTCTTATGGTTTTCCTTGAAGCCTTGGCGAGCCGGCTCCGAGGCAGCCAAGACGGAAAAACTGAAGTTCGCCTTCATGATGTTCGACGAGGCTGTCGCTTCCGCATTTCTGAATCTTGCTTGGACGATGATCCGTAAGAATACTATACGAATGGTTAATATGGTCCTTAAGAAACCTATACTAAGGTTCATATGGATTGTAGATGCTGACAGATTCTTATAGGATCTTCCAGGTTGTTATATATATATAGATAGATTGTTATATATGTTTACAGATTGTTATAGGTTCTTATAGATTGGCACCGTTGTGGATTCTTGGGGGTTGTGTTTTGAAGCCACTTGGTATGCTGGCAGGATGGCAGTGGTCTCATAGATCGACGCGAGCTCGTGGAAATGTTGCGGGTGCGGGGCCTTAAGCTCGTGGATTTCCGACAAAAATGGTACAATATGGGCCCCCCCAGTGATGTGTGTTGCTTTATAAACCCATTAACTATAACTATATAGTTATAAGTACATATAAGTACCATGAACCACAGTTATTGGAGTTTTTTGGGGTTAAGATCATCAAATTAGCTATCGTAAACGGGCGCTCCACATTGTAGGTGACCAGGCTCCGGTGAGACGACTGTTTAAGGTACTACCGCTGGTGCCCGGTGTTAGCCAAGTTGGTTAACTCGCGTGTCACTAGGAGTTATGCTAAATATATATATATATATGTATATATTATATATAATATATATATATATATATGTATATATATATATATCAAACTAGTCAATGGGCTTTTTGAAACGAAACATGACTGCGGGGCGCCACCTGGTAAGATTCTTTGAGTTTTTGAGTCTGGTAAGATCCCACAACCTACATGCAGCTCGGATCTTGGAGGGGATACAGAAGTTGCAAAAATAGCTTGAGCCATCTTTGGCTGCTTTTGCGATGGCTTTTCTGGCGAACCCCAAACATGTTCTTTTATCCAAGAACTTTGGATAAAATATTGGTGTGAACTCAGCCACGGTTAACCCCGGTTAAAGAAGATGTCATGATACCCATTTTTCAGGAAGATCATCAATTTTGATTTCTATGATATTTCTATGGGATTCCAAGGGGATTTCTATGATATTTCTATGGGATTTCATCCACAGTGATCAATGATCATAACTCCAATAATTATGGTTTCTGGATGTTTATGGTATTTATAATTAACTATAGTTCATATAGTTAATGATTGTTTATAAAGCAACAAACATCCACAGATCATTTCTATGGGATGTCTATGGGATTCCTTCAACAGTGAACAATTGATGTTTTGACTTCCTCAAGGCCAGCTTTGTCGTGGAGGGCTTTAGCCCGGAGGAACTGGAAGAGCGGGCCGATAAGGCACAGACCGGTTGACAAACAGCGCGGCACCAGGGGGGAGACGGCGGAGACGGTCGTCGAATCGCAGTGGATGGACTTTGTATGGGGAAAACTTTCGGGAAACTTCTTGGAACATCTGGGAAAATACGGAAGATACTACTGCGGAAACCCCAAGCTACAAAAGCGCTGTTTCTTGTTCGGGTTTCCGTGTAAACCCTGCGTTTTGGCAAGTAACTAATGATATTGTAGCTGATACTGTAAAGAGATCTTCACCTCGGTATGGGTCCAATGGCCAAACTCCGGTGACATCCGCACGCGGGCATCGGCTCATGGCTTGGCTTCGCAGTTGACAGCACTGCAGTTTTGAAGAAACACACTTTCTCGAAATTTGATAAGCAATAATACTTGCTGCAGCTTGCGCCTTTGCCAAGTTTGTTTTTTTTGACAGGGATAAGCTCCAGTCCGGTTCGAAGCTAGCAGTCGGTCTGACTCAGTCCGGATCAACCGGATAGCATCATATATATATAATTATATATATAATATGTATATATATATATACTTAGTAATATCTTAGATATATTTATACCATTTTATACCAATATAATCAGAATGGACTAGTAATTAGTTGTTGAATATGAGACTATAACTATATAATAATGATGGATATGAATATAATCTGGACATTCCATTTGGATCCTATTCCTTCGCAGCCAGAAGAATTCCTACATTGCTGCTGGGGCCATGGCCCAAAACATAGACCAGATAACTTTTCAGGATATTGCGATCTACTCTGCAGTATGGATTATTGTTTCATAACCGCGAAAAATAGAAAACTGCATATACAAGGTATTAACATATATTTATATACATACACACGCGCCAAGAATGTAATATTCGACAGAGAGCACAGACAGATCTCATTTCGGACTCAGTGTTGCCGCCGAGCCTTCAGCGATCGTGGATCCGAAGGTTGTCATGGTCCTTTGGCCAAGAATGGTGCTTCAGTGGGTGAAGAGTTAGATGATAGATGCTTCATCCTCACCTAATCTAGGTCAATCTTAGATGGGTAGAAACTAATCCTTTAGTCATTTGGTATGGGATTATCTACGTTCACCAGCTAAGAAGTTATCTTTTTGCAGGGTATCTAAGGTTGGCACTGTAATCCTCAATGATCATTATTTTGGTAGAATTCATTATGAAAAATATTGGGAAAAATTGGGATAAGCATAATACATTGGGGATATATCATTTTTGCGGAAAGGAATTGGGGATAAATGATAGTGAACCCAATGTCATAAATCATCCCCAAAATCACTATGGGTGGAATAAACCCTCCAAAAATGGAAGTGTCCAACTTTAGTTCCGGTGATGACTGGTCTGACTGGTTGCATTTCCTGGAAAGAGAAGATCTCAAACACTGCAGAGGCCACTTCTTTTTGGCAGTCTATCAACATCAAACACTGGGATCGTTGGGATCTTGTTGAGATCTTGGTAAAGCCAACCATAGATCAATCCAAGTTCCAACCCTCTTGAAGCAGATCAGTTGTATCCAACTTGAGGTCCAAGGCTTTGTCAGAGATATTTTCCACGATGTGCCATCGGAAACAGGGACAACTATTCATCTATTAGTTCATTCGATATTATATTGTTTCTATTAGGGACAACTACCATAGTTCATCTATTATATAGGATCAACTTTTATGTCTATATAATATTCTTATAACAAGATAGTTATTAGATATTATGAACATATCATAGACCCCCTGTTAACAACTATTAACCACTATTAAACTGACGAGGAAGGCTGACCGGGCTGATGTCATTTCCTTCTCGGCATCGGTTGAAAGCTTCAAGGCCGACAAAGCAAAGTGGCTGCAATCGGAGCTGCTCCAGCTGTGGCTGGGCACTGAACATGTCCCAATGGAATATATTAATGGGGATTTATAGCTTAAATATAACAATATTGTTACTAACATACCCAGCCACTATAACATTCCTTTGATATATTTTGGCCGGGGAAAAAAACACATGTTGACATGTTGTACCCTCTGTTAAACTAACATAGCGAACTGGACAATCACCATTTTATAGCTAGGAAAATCAACTATTTCTATGTGCTATTTTCAAGAGCTATGTCAAGTTACCAGAGGCTATTCCAGTTATCATCTCATCAAATCATCAAATTAAATAGTAATTATCATCATCATCCCACTATTAACCCAGAATTAATCCCACCAAATTATAACCCTTGTTATATTTACAGTCTTGCTATCTGAATATATCTGATATCTTTTTCGGATTTGATGAGTTGATGAAAACTGGCGGAGCCCATTTAACCAGGGAATCCACTACGACTGGGGAATTTATATGTATATATATGTATATATATATATACGTATATATATATATATATATATATATGAATGGAATATTGATGGAATATTGATGGAATATTGATGGAATATATATATATATATATGAATTGTCTGGTACCTATTTCTATTTTTGTAAATTCCCGTGTATATGAATGGAACCTGAATGGAACATTGATTATCTCGATGAATTCTAGTAACCTCAGGTTTTTTCGTCAGTGGAATGATGGTGAATGTATAGGGGAATCATTCCCAAATGGTCGTATGATAGCAGTTATTTTCAGGCTAGTGAATTAATATAATTCAGCCAGTAATATTTATATATATATATATACATAATGATTAATTATATATATACATATTATATATATACATATTATATATATACATATTATATATTATATATTATATATTATATATTTTTATTATATTATATATTATATATTATATATTTTTATTATATTATATATTATATATTATTTATTATATATTATATATTATATATTATATATTATATATTATATATTATATATTATATACTATATATTATATATTATATATTATATATTATATACGAACCCAAATGTAGAATTCAACGGCCTCCAGTAACTACTTTGATCTTTCCTAAGATTTGCTGAAAGTGTTTGTTGTTTTCCCATTGGTTAATCCATCATGGGAATCCGTCTCGGGATTTTTTTTTGGTGGCTCTGAAGCAAATCCAAGTTTCCAAGATCTTTGGAAGATTATGAACTAAGACTTAAAATGTGTTCAACTATACTGACATATATGGAAATATATAGAAATATGGTTTCAACTTCAAAATCTTTGATATACTTGAAGGTAGCATAGTTGGGGGTAAGTCGGATATAACTATATAACATAGTAATTTTAAGGTCTTGTTAATACTTATATCACCAAAACATGTCACCAGCAAAAAAACAACAACAACGAGGTTTTGGATTACATAAAGATGAAATGACCGAAACTTCGACTTGTTTTATCTAGTGGATTTCAGCAGTGCATCGCCTATATACCGCCTTTCTTCTATGTATACCATTCTGTACCTACCCAAATGGGTGACTGTTTGGATGACAAAGGTCATAGGTCGAAAACACCAAGGCCTACTGCCGAGTTGGTGAACCTGTCAAAGTGGTTGCAGCAGGTGCTTGGCAACTACTTGGTGGCTCATCGTTTGTCATTTCCGTGGCTTAGTAAAAACACCAGTTGAGCAGTGGCTGCTAAACCCCTGTTGGTTGATGATTATTTTTATAGGGGATTATACTACCCAATATACTGGGGATTATAATATTCCAATAGGTGAATCCCTAATAACCAACCAGTATAATGGAATGACGGAGGGATTTTGAACACTGCTCAGTTATAAGTGAACTAACCCCACTTATCCCATTGGATGTTCACCCTAAAAACGATTCGTCCGATGAGCAGGTTTCGCAGGTGGTGAGCTGTGCCCGGCTGTGCCCTGCACAGATAAGCCAGGGAAACGATCAGATGCACCAAGAATGGCAAGATGTTGGATCATGTGGGTAGAATCATCAGTTTTATGGGTGAGATTTTGTCAAATCACCAGGTTTTGTTGCAGATGAAAGCATCATTTTCGTGGTTGGATACATATACCCTCTGGTAATCTAGAGATTAGCTGTGGAAAATCAACACCAAGATATAAATCATCCAACTCCATAGGCAATGTGCATCATTTCCCATAGCAAACTCTTGAATGACCAGTATTGTTGGTTGATGTTGGGTGTATATCCCATTAATTTAATTTCCAACCAATCCATACATACATATACATATATATATATATGATGCAATCATGTTAAATCACCTTTTTTTAGTGGTATTTAATACTGTGATGGAAGAAATCCTGCACCAGTTGGTAGATGGTTTTTCCCGTTATAATCCCATTATTTAGGCTGTTTCATAGGTACCAATAGAATCCAATAGATACCAGCTGGTCCAGGATTTTGTCCATCCACGCTTCATCATTATCCCATATGGCAAGCCCCGATAGAAACGTTGGGAACCTGGAAAATATGTGGGAAACATGATGGGAACGACCATCCTGGAAACTCGTTTCTATCTTGTTGGGGGTTTCTGTCAAAAGTGGTTCATCACACTGGTTACTAAGTCCCTAATATAAGTAGGTTCTCCCGTTAAAATAAGTGGCTTGTAATCCCACTAATTAACCACTTATTAAGGGGGATGATCCTCCAAGTAGCCCTTCCCTTCGCCGAACATCGAAAATCGCAGGTGGTAACGGCTCGATCGGCCCTGGAGCAGTTGGAAGCGCCATTTGTAGCTGCCTCAAAGCGGGATTTGTATGAGATGTGATGGGATGTGTATGGTGATTTGATATGATTTTATATATTTGGATTTCACCAACCAAAACGATGATTTTATATGATTTTATATGATTATGGGATATTAGCACTTTAAAAAATGTGGCTTTATTTGATTTATTGATTATATATTAATTGGAATTTAATTGGATATACAGCTAACATCAAACAACTATATTGCGGTATTTTAAACCCGTAAAACCCATAAACAAATAGACCGGTTTGCCATTTTTCCATTCCATCCATTGCAATGACAATAATGGTTAATTACTATAGTGACTTCGCCCAGACACTACCTTAGGTGTTTTTTGTTATTTCCACTGTGATAATTAAAACTTGCGAAAAATGCGATTTGAGAAACCTCAAAACCATCGAAGCCACATGGTATTTTGGTGCATCCAACGCACATTTTTGTTAGTAGAAATATTAGGGTTTGACTGAAAATGGAATTTTTCAAAATCCAAGGTAACACCGGTTTTCATCATGGCAATCATCCATTTTCTGCATAAGAATGGCAACTTTAGACCCACCCCTTCATTTTGAGACAAATCCAACATTGAAATATTCGATCCTTTACCCTCTGACAAAATAGTTTGCAGATGTGGAAAACCACCATTTGTACATCACTTCCTTCGGAAACCATGGTTTTTCCATATTCCCAGTTGTTGTTTGATATCTCTATAGATAATTTACTTATTAAACATGGTGATTGTTGGTATCTATGTAAGTATACCAGAGGGTAGAAACTGCAAATATGATGTCTTGATCCATCTCAATGTTTGGTTGATGATTGAGGTTCTACAACGTGGTTCAATATAGGAATTACGACAACCCAGCGTACGGGGATTCTTCCGCTCCAAAGTGATGGTCCAATGAGAGATGTACCCTGATGAATGGCACCAGCACCGCAAGCAACGTCGCCTTGTTTGGGGTGTCAAGGGAACTAAGTGGGTAGGACACTCATCCAATACATTCTACATCATTCTACTAGCTCACAGTATTGCTGGAACCATCGATGGGATCACCCAGCATATGGACACGAGTGTCTTGACCTTGGACGCATACACTAGTATGTGAAGCTCGTAAGCCATGATTAAGCCGAAATCGTCATGTTTGCCACATACCAAGATGGTTAGTTCTCTTGGTTTCCAAACCGCTACTTTACTCTAACCGACCTAAGCTTCTTATACTAATTACTAGGATTTCAGATGGTTTTTATAGGATTTTACTCCATACATCTATACCGCTTCTCCAAGCAAAACTGGGCGAGCTCCCCACGTACCAGGCAAAGAAGGAGGAGGTAACGATCGCGGCCCCCGCCTGCACGACTCTTGGCAGGGGATCACCAAGAGAAATGTGGGCCACCGTGGCCACGATATTTAAGCTGGTTTATGACTTCATTAGCTTGGCAGTCCTGCAGTCTTTATGAAATTTATCTGCTTTCTTTCACGAGGGATGGGGGTCCACTGGACAATAAACTGAATTCTTGGGATTGCAAAGCAGTTCATTTGAAAGATACCCTTAAAGTCTTAGAGGAGCATCAATGATGAGCTAAATGCAATTGGCGCTCACCCGTATCCCACTCATGCTATGGCCTTGGGCAGCCTTTGTGGAGTAACAGTGAACCTCTAAGTGGTTGGTAACTGTGATTCTCAAGTAATTGTAGATTTGCCATCGTTTGTTTTGGAGGCAGAAGTCTACAGTCACAATCAACGGTTAGAACTAATTCCCAGACACTTCCTATGATGCTCTGAGGACTGTTCCTGCACTTGCAGAGCCAGCGCCAACTCCGGCTGCCCCGGCTGCCCCGGCTGCCCCGCCTCCGCCGGCCCCGGCTCCCACGCCAGCGCCAGCAGCAGCAACAGCAGCAGCACCTGCAGTGACAGCAGCAGCACCTGCAGCATCCACCCCGGCAGCAGCACCAGCACCACTTGTAGCACCTGCGGCAGCACCCTCTGTAGCGGCACCAGCGCCTGTGGCTGCCCCACCAGTAGCAGTGGTGCCAGGTTCGTCTTCAGCATTCGAAAGACAGAAATGAGAGGGAGGCTTTTTCAAGGTCTTGGGGTGGGTTTGCTTGAAAATAGGATAATTACCCGGTTACCCCCAAAATTTATCAAATTTTGACGCATTGTCATTTCCCCGACTGAAATTGCAATCTGGGGGGGCCACATAGCCCCTTTTCAGACTAAATTATCTAAATTGCCTCGAGCGGTGTCGCATCGGGAACTTCTACTTACTTCCTCATCCCACTTAGTAAGTGGGTTATAATTTATTAACCCCAGTTATAAATTGAATATAACTGGTATATATAAGTGGGGTTAATCCAATTAGAACTAGAACTGTTGTTTTTACTAACCCACATAAACGATTCGCGGGGTGAGCCACTAAGTAGTCATGAAGCCAACCGATCCAAATAATCACGGTGCGTTCAGATGTGATCCGCGCATGACAACAAAACCGCTAAGTGTAGATGGGTTTGGCAATGGTTCTGGCAGCAGCGCTTGAAGTACAACACTTGAATTACTTATATACAAGGTTGTGTCCCATAGTTAGCTAAGTTGTTTTACAACTCATTACAAGTCCAATAACGATTGGCTGAATGCTAGACATATTGACATAGTTCATGGGGGTGACATAAACAAACAAACATACCTGGGGGGCACCGCCTTTTATCGCATGAGATACTGGTTAGTTAAAAGATGTCTATAGGATTTTATAGGTATTCAAAACTGGTGGGAAACCAGAATCCCAATAGGTCAATATCAATAACCTCTAAAGGCAACACATAAGGAGACCAATCAACTATCACTTACTGTATAGATTTCCATATGTTGGATAATCAAAACCCCAAAATAGCCCTACCTTTAAGACTACTGGTTGTATCCGAATCGCCAGTTTTCAGAACATTCAATTACACTTTCAGTTTGTTAAATTCGGAGATGTTCAACCCGTAATCGCCGTAATCCCAGCCTGGTAACTTCTGACCCAGTCACGTTTTTCCTGGGTGACTGGGTGAGTCCTCATGGTTACTACTTGGATGATCATCCCACGGTTTTTCCTGCAGAAAAAAAGGTGTCCAATTTCCAAGTGGCTAACCCGGCTAACCCCACTTACCAATCTTACCAACCAGTAGTTACATGAAATACCATGAAATAACATGAAATAACACGAAATAACCATTTTGGCTGGTTAAGTCTTATTTGAATCTCATGAAATCTAGGCACATCCAGAAAAACCCTCTGGCTATTTGAGGTTGCTATGGAATTTAATAGGTAACTCATCATGTTTATCATCTATAAATGAACCGTCTTCCAAAGCTATATAGCTAATGTTAAACATCCAGAGGGTTTTTTCTCATGATATTCCCATTAAGTCACCATTTCACTCTTTCCCATAATATAACCAGGATAGTTGGTCAGATATTATATCCCATAGTGAAATGGTTATATCCCGTAATGTCTCATAATATTCCACAATATAACCATGCAGGATATCTCATAATATTGTTCAGATATCCCATCTGGTTGGTGGTTTGGAACATGCTTTTTCCATATATTGGGAATTTCATCATCCCAACTGACGAATTCCATCATTTTTCAGAGGGGTAGGTATACCACCAACCAGATTATGATTAACCATCATTAACCATATAATAACCATATGTTAACCATCATTAACAGTTTTTTTTTTTTACCACAATGGTAGGGCTCAACCACCAACCAGCCATTATATCCCCATTACTGGGACGATCCTCCAAATCCTTCACCGGCTACGCGCCGCTCTGCAGGAGCTCGAGCGCGTAGCCGATCAAGGAGCTCGAAGCGACAGGCCGATTGAAGTTGAACGTGGACACAGCGACAGTGCGAATGTAGATGTAAATATATATATATAGTATGGACATATAGATGTATAGATGCATATATGTATAGAATTGTATAGATATATAGCTATACATATACATATATATATATGTATATATGTATAGGTTTTACATAGATATGCCCAACAGCAGTGCCTTAAAAACTGGGAGGGACCCTGAAAGCTTGGAACCCGGGACATTACCATGTGGTCAGGATGGTTATTATGGTGAATCATCCCAAACTCAGATTTCAGGATGTTTGCATATTTTATTAGTGCATTTCACCAACATGAAGCATTTCAGGTCAATTCCTTCCTGGTTGTTAGTTGGTGACTTGGTTAAACCTCCCAAGGTTATTGGTGAAATCGGCCGCTCGCGGAATTTATTTCAGGTTGCGCCTGAAGCTGCACCGAAACCTGCTCGCATGGATGGGGGGGGCACAGCCAACAGTAGTTCAGCCACCAGATATCAACGCCCAGGCCTTGACAACTTGAGGTTAGAAGTGCTGAGTTTCTAAAATCCTATTGGAAGTTGCTTGAACATTATATATGTATTGTTTATTTATGGTTGTTCCAGTATTGGACACTTTTTAAGTGAGAGAAATTTGCATCAAACTGAAGCTTTTCTGAGTTCCCGTCTCACTGGTAGTATGAAATTTGGAGGTTTCTACCCCCATGAGAAAACGGAAACCATCAATTGTTTCGATGATCCTGAAATATGGGTACCCCGAAATCATCCATTTTCATAGGATTTTCATAGGATTTTCATAGGATTTTCCAAGATTTTTTTCTCTGAGGCCAGCCACGGGAAAGACCAAGGCTGCCAGGGGCTCTGTGCGAAACGGAGTTGCGAGTGTACCCGGAGCAGGGGTTCTTCGGAATGTCTTCCCTTTCCCCCCCCAAAAAAATAAGAAACAATTCACGGAAAGCATGGGAAATCCATGGTTGAGTAGGAATGAAACCACATATTTGGGCCCATTTATGGGGTGTGGGATGGAATATGATGGGATAACAATTATTTTACCCATAAAAAAGATGGAGAAACATTGCGTTTCACTCGCAGATCTTTTGTTATCACTGTAATTAATTAAGGTTATACAATCCTGAAAATTGTGATCACAAATTATCCAACTCATGTTATCTACAACTGTTTATTTTCATATTTTGTTTTGTGTTTTTTGTTTAGCAGCTTCTACAAAGAATCGAAAGACATCCACATCATGCAGCCTTGACTCCGTCCCAGCCCCGTCCTGTTTTTTTCCACACCAAAACAAGGTGGTCCCCCGTAACCATAAACCCGTGGTACCCCCTAGTTATCAGTTGGATTATAATCCCTATTACCTACAGATATAACCTCCATAAACCCTAGATATTGGACTTATAAACCAACTTAGCTAACTATGGGGCACCACCTTGTAGTACATCATTGTAGTTTTGATGAATCATCAAAATAACAATCATGAAACCTAGCTAACCTCGTTCATCGCGTGTCCAGGATGATCCGGAAGCAGCGTCCTGCAACGGCCACGCGCCGAAGAATGCGCCAAAGAATGCGGCTGTTGTCAATGGCCCAGCGATGCTTGGCGATGGTCTACAATGACCTGTTTTTTTTCATGGATATAGTTAAATATATATATATATATATATATGAAGTTGTAATATGAATGAAAGATGCAACCAATGCAAAATGTTGATTTACCCACCAAAGATGGTGATATGATTGAATATGAAATTACTATCCAGTGGTTAGGTGATTCTCTACAGCTATATGGGGAGCTCGGAAGCGATTGTTAGAGTTTCAGCGTTGGGTTTAATGGTGATTTATCTGGATCTTCTAAATTGGGGATCATTCGACTCGAAAATCTGCCACTGGAACTGGGTTTGAGTTGGAAAAATCATCCTACAAAGTCGATGGATTTATCGTATTTCCATGTTTTTTTCCAATGGGAAGCTCACTACTTGGGGAATCTATAATGAGGATAGAATGATCTATTCAGAATATATTAATGGAATGTTAATGGAATAATAATGGAATAATAGTGGAATGGTAATGGAATATTACTCGAATATGACCTGAATGTTAATGGCATGTTACTGGAATATTACTGGAATATTAATGGAATGTTACTGGAATATTACTGGGATATTAATGGAATATTAATGGAATATAAATGGAATACATACATAGATCTGGGTGAAATATAGAGACCTCACTGTGACGTCACTGGAACAATGGTTCGGATAGGGGGAATCATCCCCAAATGGCCGGATGATGACAGTTATCTTCAGGTTAGTGCATTATTTTTCAGCCCAAATGATGATTTAACCGTGTTTTTATTGTGATTCAGTAAGTTGTCATATGATTTTTCCATGAATGTAGATCGTTGATAACACATGGATATATGGGATATACCATATGGATATACTGTATTTCATAACATGGTGATGTATTGTGTCGGCAATAAAGGGGGAAAGGGGGAAAATGATGGAATATATCCAGTAGTACAATGGTATATATATATATACCAACTTGATATGATAACTAATTATTGTGTGAGACCATGTCGTGTATGTTCAGATGACCGATTAAGATAAACAAATTTTAAATGATATGTAGAGATGCACATATATATATATATATATTTGTATACTGCTATCTAAATACACACAGGATGACCACGCTTCTTAATGACTATGGCACGATAATCGAAACAAAACATTGTGTACTGGCAGACTTGTCACAAACCTCATGTATTGCTTTTGTTGGATGCATCGTAACACTGGGGCTCCGAGTCACTAGATTCAGGAACCCTCTTTTCTCATTGCTGATCTGACGACTTTGCTTTGGTCGCAAGAATTGAGCTGGTTGGTGGTTTCAAGCATTTTGAATTTTTCCATAATTTATATTGGAGAATACTTCCCATTGACGAACTCATATTTTTCAAGGTGGTTATTGCACCACCAACCAGTGAGAAACGGTCGGGAAACCCCGAGGATGGAGGTAGCGACCCCAAGCGCCTCAGCTGAACGGTGGACTTTCCCATTGAAACGGTCGAGGTCTGCCAAGGTGTAAACCCCACGAGAAGTCCATAGTTTTGGGCTTTGAACCACTGACTTTGGGGAACAAAAACATGGCCATGATCGAAAGATCCTGGGTTCAGGACCAGCTGGTTTTAAAAATTTCGCTTAGCCAGTCATTTCCTCTATGATTGGCTGTCAACATGTCGGAATCAAACCTGGTTTTTACCACTTGTAGCATTTAAATCCCTCAATTATTCAAGTGACAGTAGCCAGTTTGAAAAAACTAGTGGGTTGTAGCCTTCATTTAGAGTCTGTAGATAGAACTTCAGATACTCTGACATTTCTTGCAACAACCACCAAACAAATAGATTAAGATTCCAAACCATGTGCATTGTCATGCTCCACCTCATCACCGCTATCATTATCTTGTAACTATTACTCTGACAAAAGGGGTGTAGTAATTATGATGACTAATGATGTCCCTATTTCTGAGCATGTACAGTTTTTGTTGCATCCGTGGCCAAATTTCATGCCTAGGTGGTTGTCAAAACCTCCAAACAGTGAAACCGGGCACGTCGGCAGTCGCTGATCATCGGCTCAGGCAAACCGGCTGCAGAGCCCAGCGTTGTGGAGGCCGATTTCCTCGTCAAAAGGATAAACCAACTGGAAATGGTTTGGTTCTATAAACCAGCCGTTCATGAGGATATCATGGGGATGTGTAACTATTCTTAGTCATGAATCAACTAATGTACGAATGGTTTTGGATGGTTTTGGTGTCATTTTGGATGGGCTGAAACTACTCGTTGCGGCACAGTTCACATCGTTGTCATTCTCATCCCCAAAGATGACAAGAGCCCATACCTTCATGAATCATGTTCATTCCTATAATTACTGCTATATCTCCAGTAAATATTCCATCAGTATATACTGTATATAAATCATTGTGGCAATATCATATCCTCATTGCCGTAGATATTCTGCCCCCAAACAGTTAAAACAGCAATGTTCTGTAATAATTTAACAGGATTTTACGCACTATAATTATAATTAATTATATACCATCTATAATTTTAATATATATATATATGTCTCTTTCTCCATCTCTGGGGAGCTATTCAAAGGGGTACTATCCAGAGTTTCTGTTGCTAAATTATGTTTTTGTTTCTTTACAATATCTTTAAAATTGGTGGAATTGGGCCCTTAAAAAATATGAACACATATTTGTTTATGAACAGATATGTTTTCTGTGCTGCGGGGTGTGGGACGAGGTCGTTGAGCAGAAGAGTATCCTGCCCCCTTCTAAAAATAATACTGGAAGCAAAAAATCGGCCCAACATTTTTTTAGAAAACATTTTTTCACATGTTTTTTTTAAAAATAAATATATTTTGTTTTTTTCTTTTTATTTTAAATTTATATAAATATGACCAATAATATTTTCCATTTTGCGCTACGCGGCTACCCCAGTGCATTTTGTTGCTTGTTCGTAGCTGAAATACCTCTGACCTGTGCAAAGCTGAATAGCATCCCTTTGGATAGGGCCAGGGGGCCTTTGAATGAAATATAACTTGAAATTTACAGGGAACAGACAATGTCGTGCCCACCGGCTGCAGAATGCCAGAATTAGCTGCAGGGAAGTTAACGTAAGAAGTCGTGCCTACCCCATAAACACCAGCGGCCTCTGATGTGTTTGGTGCACTTTTCTTGAGTTTTGTTGCGGTGCCTATGTGTTTCGCTATCAACGCCTACTTAGGGGATTTACATTGTTGTTGTTCGGATCCAGCGGTGCCATTGGGAACTCCTGTCGCGTCGAGCTAAAACAAGAGGAATGGCCGTAAGAATTTTGAAACCATATCAATTGAATGAGTGCTGCAATGATCGCGGTGCCATGCAAGAAAACCCGTCAGGCATGACTTAGGCGTGACTTTTTAAAACAGCGGTGCCGTGCGGAGAATCTGAGAAGCACCTTAGGCATGACTTGGGCATGACATTCTCTTTTGCCTGTAGCAGCCCATCTATAGTTATATAGTATATATATATGTGAGATTATAAGATATAGTTACTATAGTTATCTGTTATTATAACAGCCCATCTGGTTGGAACGGAGAGATTTGTGCTGTGCCAGGCAGTTGCGATTGCCCCGGAGTTGCCGTGGCTCGTTTTTTATTCTCCGGGTGGGCGGGGGTCAATTGCAGAAAAAAACATATGGGCATTTACATGTATTCTATATAAATCAATATCCTATGAATGGGAAATGTGTTATGACTGTTATGATATGTTTCATAGGATATATATATATCATATTTACTATATACAATGGGATATCTGTAATCATTCATAGGCATACTGTTGGAATTATAGAGACCATTTATTGGGGATATCAACATGGGGATTTTAGCGAGCAAATGGGACAAGCAAGCGGACACATAATCAGATTGGGCATCAAAGGCATCCAACAAAACACTTGGTTTTTGATAACCTAAAAATCAAGAAGATACTACACAACTCATGGTACCCATACAAGGGTATGGGTCGAATATGACCCACACAGATGGACTTATCATTCTTGGTGGTAAACTTGCAAATAGCAACAGAAACCATATATATATATACACTGTATGTGTTTCTTGGGGGTACCCTCAAGAGATCATTTTGATATTGAAACCGATGGTTTTGGGTACCCAGTTTGGGCCGATACCATTCCCAGATTGCCAGATTGCCTGTCCCCGGGTCCATAGACACGCAGTTTCCAGATGGGTATTCCACAGTTTCCAGATGGCGAAAAATTCTAATGGTCATCCATCCCTACGGATACATATCCCCATAATGAATGATTGTGAATCCTAAGGGTTCCCAATATGGGATAGATGACATGCCCCACTGCAATGTTTTGACCATGGTGCACCAAGGACACCGCCGGCGGAGGAGTGAGGTTTTAGTGTTTTTCGGTGGCGCATGAAGGTAGCATTATATGCACATGCACTTACATGTATTTTCTAGATCGGAAGATTCTGGGACACATCAAATGTATTTACATATGTATATTCTACTATATACAATTGCCATATCATTATCATATTCACTTTGTGTTATTATTGCTGTACTGTTATACGTATGGCTTCGTCAAAAATTGATCGGGTACCCCAGTCAATTGCCATGAAATTGGAACATTAGGCAATTAGGCTTGACACCATTGGATTTTAGGGATAGATTTTCAGACAAACCCATGTGGTATGCTATATGGCATTTTTTCTATAGGATGAACACACAATAATGATTAGTGTAATAGTCCATAGTTGGGTGAGCTTGTCATTAACGCATAATCTATCTAGTCATCATGGGGGATGTAGCCGGTTACTGGGATAAACACTGTACAGCGGTCTGTATGCATGGCTATGACTCAGAAACTAGACTATACTTTATATATTGCGATGTTTCGCCCTTGTCTGCCATTATTCGGAAATCATTAGGGAAGATGGTGCTCCAATGAGTTTAATAACATTTAATAACCAGTATTTGCGTCGGATAGTCATATCAAACTCATTTGTATCCTACATGCTGGTTTCCCCTAGTTATGTTTTTGTTGGTTTCTACACTTCAAACATCTTCAAATTATAATTATAATCCAGATAAACCCTAGTCAACCGAGTTATAAGCCGGCTTAGCTAACGACCTGGGGCACCACCTATCAACATTTGAGTCGGAAATCTTAGCTTGATTTGGGTCTGAACATGTGGTATACCCACAAAAATGACCAATGGAACGAAAATGATGATCAACCATGGTTCATTGCTGGTCCAGGATTTTTAGGCAAAGCCTAACATAGAACCGATTATATTCCAGAGACATTTTATTCAATACACAATAACATCTTATAACAATAGTTAATAGGTATTTATACAGTAAATCATAACTGGGGGGGGGACCGGGGCCCACATTGTATGATAGTCACATTTTGATATGTTTGAGAACAGACGGGATATCAACGGTTGTTTTTCGCAACCATTGGCAACCCACAAGAAGATCGACGAGTAAAATTCGACCACAAATAATATGGACATCCGTGTGGTGGCGTTGAGCCTTACATTTGGTTATATATGGTTATTTACTGTTCTTTATATATATATATATAATACATAGCATATAGATATACGTATATAATCACATACTGTATAATCACATATAATCACAAATATGTATATATATATATTCATATCCAAGACATAACTCCTAACTATTGCAAACTTACTACCACTGATCTTGGGGGGTGTACCATATATATATATATATATGTATAAAGATACATATATTATGAGATATGCTTCAACATGGAGGGAATCCAACGGCGAATTTCAGACTTGCCGCAGGAGTCCACGTGCGCGCCTCGTAGCAGCCTGGCGTTGAGCGCGGACCATTCAGCAACTCGGCAACCGATGGCCGAGGGGGGAAACTCGAGGAGTTTTGATGGGAAAATCATGGGAAGATCACAGGAAAATCAGTTTTTTGAGTGGGAAAATCATGGTAAAACCACAGAAGTTCTGGGGATTTAAGCAACAAACATGGTATAATAGGAATATATCAATATGTCATAGGAATATATTAATTACAGTAATGTGAATGTAATGTGATATTAACGGAAAATTCATGCGATATAGATTTCTTGCCTCCGATCATCATTGCCGTGGCGGGAAAGTCCTTGAACTAGCCATGGAGCGATACGGCTTTAGAGCTCGGAAAATCATCGAACTCGATGACTAGGAGATGTTGCATCCATAGTTATAGTCATCCCCAAATAGATGGAAAAGTAAATCACCATCAAATTAGTAGGGATTTACTTTTCCATCTATTTGGGGATGACTATATTAAACATCTATATAAACATGATTATCCATGATTATGCCCTATTAAACAATCTGTGATTTTCAAGATTTGACATAACTATGGAAAATCACCATGTGAAAAATAGGGCATCATCGCCATGAAGCATCTATAATAAATTGGTCATTTTTCATAGCTATGTTGACTAACCACAGGGTATAAGCATGTAACTTATGGACTTATAGATAATATGTGGGCAACAATTTCAAATATGTATATATATATACATACCAATAATCACATATATACAATTGGCAGACGAGCAGCAAATGGCAGTAGCAACAAGAAACAGCAGTGGTATTTACATGGAACAAAAATGATGACTTTGACTGTTTCTTTCAAGGGTCAATGTTGATGTACACTTGCTTGTGGTGGCCAAACGTTAAGGCTTACACAAAACCTAAATTGTTGTTTGCATGTTGACATTATACAAAACAATGTTTCAAAACCGGTTAATTATTTTCCTACGGGTCCCCCCAAAAGATGCGAAACAGTTTTTCCAGTATGTTAAACAGTAGATGGTATTTTTTGATCGTTTCCAATGTGTTTCAAGCTTTTGTGATTGTCTATAGTTGGTGGTTGCTATACGGGAATGTTTGAACATCGGGTACCCCTAAGACCCCTAACTCCATTGATTAAGCATAATATGTCCAACATTATTTAAACATACCCTCTGGTAAACATACAAATAGCTATTGAACATGGCCATTTATAGTGGATTTTCCCAATAAAAAAGGTGATTTTCCATAGTTATGTAAACGTTTACCAGAGGGTAACATGGCCATAAATTGGTTTGTAAATTGCCCTTTTTCAGTCAGCCGTCCGCATCAGGTATGATTGCTAGTAGACAATCTCCCATCTATCTTCATGACTTGTATACCCATGATATACCCAGATAGGGATATCATCCCAGTCCCAGTAGGAAAATAATACGTATCCTATTCAGTCATGATAATAGTAAAATATACCCATTATATACCTCCCCAGAATATGACTATATCATATACCATGATAAATATATATAAATATAATACCCATTATTAAATATAAATGTACTATAATGGGTCATGAAAATGTAATTATATACCCATCTCTATAATTACATCCCAGTTGTTTGATGTTTTTTGCCCATATCCCCATAGAATGCAGCGCCTCCCGGCCATCCAGGAATTGATGAGCTCCCTTTGGTCAGCCTTCGGCACGGCCAACAGCTGCCGTTCCAAGGTGACACAGGCGAGAGCCATCCAGTCGTTTTGAGGGAGCGGTTCGGAGATTTGAGTATCCATATGCCCTTTTCAATGCGGAACCAGTTGGAATTATGAATTGAGTTTCCCAACCATATGATAGTACAAAGTGGGGAGTAGCAGTTATATTTGTTTGTTTATAAACCCCATTGCCTATAGATATATGATCTATTTACAATATAATTCATAGTTAACTTAGTTATAAGCCAACTAAGCTATCGCGTGGAAGCCCGACCTTGTACAAAATGTGATAAACAATGTTGTATTCCCCAAGTTACCCTCTGGTAATTGAACATAACTATTGAAAATATTTGAAAATGACACATAGAAATAGCTGATTTACCTATCAAACATTGTGATTTTCCAGTTCGCTATGTTAGTTTACCGGAGGGTAAATATTTTTTTACTATCAAATATTGCGATTTACCCATCAAACATTTTTTGAGGGTAAATCATTTCTTTGTCCTAAAAAAAATCATTGGGAGTGCGTGGGGGGGGGTAATTTCAGCCTGGCATCCACAATGATTTCACCCCCACTTTGTGGGGATATGGCCACTTGGGGCCCCTTTAACTATGATGCATATATATATATATGTATATATTAATATATATGATACTACATATATATGATAGTATAATTTATGTATATATATATATATATATATTCACTTAATTCACTAGAGCAGCACCCCCAAGTACCACCAAACTGCCGCATTAATGATTGAAACTATGACTGATGATCAGTGGGAATTGAGGGGTTACCGTGACCTCATTTACTTCAAAATTGTTGTCAAATTGTTCCCGTGAAGTTCAGGCTTGTTGTTTACATCCCAACCTGACCACATGTTCTTTGTTTTTTTTAAACAACTTCAGGGTACCTTTTTGAACCAGTGTCAACTTGGAGTCTACAAATAGCGGATTTGGACGAGATTTCTGGCCCCCCCAGTTATAATTTACTTTACAAACCTATTAACTATAGTTACCAGTACCATAAACCAGAGTGATTGGAGTTATGTTCACCAACTTAGGTACTTCCCAGGTTAGATGATCCCCCCATCAGTCGATTTTTTGAAATATGTTCAGACGAGCCAAGTCAGTGAATGCCCTAACTTTTCATGGTTCAATCCTATGCAATCCCTATCTGGTTGGTGGTTTGGAACATGTGTTTTTTTCCCCATATATTGGGATTTCAAATATTGGTATACATAAACTAGTCAATTTTTAGTCAAATATGTTTCCATATATTGGGAATGTCATAATCCCAACTGACTCATATTTTTCAGAGGGGTTGAAACCACCAACCAGCTATGGTATCATCCATGGTCAAATTCCACATTTTTCGAGGCGGAACAGAACCTTTGCGCCATGCAGTCTCAGCTGCAGATGTCCATGCAAAAGGCGGTGGCGCGGAAGCGATCGAAGCGATCTGGGGAGGCCAAAAAAAAGATGGGGATATATCTAAGTTTCATATGACATGATCTTGTTATACATAGTGATATAACATGATATAATAACTATGTTTATATGATATGTCATATATGTAGATGGTGATGTTTTTTCCATGATACTATGGATGGTTCAGAAATCCTACAGTACACCAGTTGAAAACGGTGGTTTATCCATGTTTACCCCAGCATCACCAGCTGATTGGATGGGAAGCGCCGCTTAAAAAACAGCGACAAATCCGGCTTGTTTTGGGCTATAAATGGAACATCACCACAATAGTTCATGATAGTATTTCATAATTGTAGCAGTGTTTTGTTTCTAATTTCATTGTTCGAATATATACATATCTATTTTTTTTTATGTTGTAATTGCTATTTGTGTGGGGTTATTGTGTTGTCACTATTATCAAGCATTACAGTGTTATTTTCCTGTTGCCAGCACACATATATATATATACACAATTATACCCAACGGAAGATGGAGATGATGCCCAGATCGCATCCAATGGGCTAGTTATTAATGACGGTAGCTGCATTGTTTCGATGAATTCGTGGGGTGCAGGCACCATCATGATTGACATCATGATTGTTTTGATGGTATGTACCCTCTGGTAAACATTCAAAAAACTATGGAAAATCACCATTTTAATGGGTAAATCAACTATAAATGGGCAATTTTCAATAGCTATGTTAGTTTACCGGAGGGTAAACATGAATACACAAGCAGTCTGCAAAACGTGATGGAATCACACCAAAGCAGCAGAATTTTGGTGTACTACCAACAATCATCAGAACATGGGCATTTTAACCAGAACATGGGGATATTACCATATTACCAACCAACTAACTGAAGATATGACCAGAAGATGGGGATGCAAGCAATCATCAGGGTTGCTGGAAACTCATTGTGGGTCAATGATAACCATGTTCGGGGTGGCAAAATTGGTCATTTTACTGTATATGGGGGTTTCCTAAAATAGGGGTACACCTAAATCATCCATTTTCATCGGATTTTCCATGAAACAAACCATCGATTTTTCGTTTATGGATACCCCTATATTTATCCAATTTACCCCCCAAACTTACCTGTGGTGTTTGGAGCAACCCTGATCATGATTGAACATGGGGATATTAAGCAACAATCATTATTGTCAAGGAAAAAAAAAGCCCAAAAACTTGCGAGTTACGGACGAATGTCCAGGCGCTAAAACTTGTCATCATGTCGAGTAACAGTTCGATCAAATTAACAGGAAACGCTAGCTATATTTGTCAGTTTTGTTCACCAACTAAACATACATCCCATCTAAATCCACATCATCACATCGTTGTTTGTCATATCCTCATTTTTGATGCTTGATTTTTCTCAGGAGTTGCTCAAAAGATTAAAAAAACAGTGGTGATTTCATGGCTGTTGTCTGAGGAAGAAGCCTTTGTGGCAGTTCAGCACTGGACTGGCACCTCTTCTCTGGTCAGAATGGGAAGCTGGCGGCCATGGTGGCCGTGAAGGGTTTTGAGAAACTGCTGGGATTTAAACGGGATTTCATGGGACTTAGTGGGATTTAATTTAATGGGGATATAATGGGACATATATATATATATGTAATATATATATATATATGCATACACAAATATTGATACGTATGTACATTATATATATATATACATATATATATATGTATGTATATATATATATACATACAATTGTATATTTAATTGTATATACATATGACCGAAGCTATGTAGATGTGCCTAAAAATCAGTTATTCCCCGATGTTAGGCTATCTTAATATGGAACAGGATGATCACAGGTACCATGGGGTACCCAATTTTCAGACAAATCCATGCGGTGGACGGTAAACGTAGGTCTTATAAAGATTGAGGAATACGCTGGAGGATTCAGAGTTGCACCAAGGAAAAACAAACATTGTGTCATTGTCATTGTGTGACGGTTTTGTATGGCAATACCATCACATGAAGGAAGTTGGTTCCACTCAGACTCAGAGGAGAATTCAAGCTGCGCTTGAAGCACCACTCCTATACATCCCTATACTTTAGCAGGCTAGTAGAGTGAAGCAAAGTCAAAGCTTCCCAGCATTTTCGTGGTTGATATGTCACAACAAACGGTACTGCATCAAACATGTCCCCGAAAACCACAGATGATGGATCAGCCGTCCCTGCTTGTGGCAATTTGTCTGAACTCTTTCATTAGGAAATCATGTAAAATGGAGATATAATTGGTACATAACCAATGGTGATCCAGTTGGTGTGACATTTTTTTTTTTCAATCATAGAGATGGGATTGATGATTCCCAATTCGACTATTTTTCAGTGGGTGCCTTAATCACAAACCAGTCATGGCATGTTTCTGATTTCTCGACCCTATGTCCTTTTTCCTTCGTACATTCCTATGATATATATATATATATAATTATATATATATATATATCAATAATATGGTGATAATGTCTACAGGGTTTTATCAACAGTGCTACTGATGATAGCTATTTCCATGATATATCGATATTATATATATATATATATTTATCAAGACTAGTATTCATTCAGAGTTTATATATACCTACATTTCTTTTGATTTATCATAGTTATATGACTTGTGCAGTAAACCATCCCAATTTAACCAAATGGGATGTATAAACCATCAAAGTATAGGTGGTTTGTTATTGGTTTACATTATACCTACATCAATAGTGAATATATATGATTATATAATGAACCATGACCACAGTCCATGTGAGCAGTGTTCAAAACCCCTGCTTGTTGTTTATTGGGGATTGTACCAACCAATATACTGGGGATTTTCATGATCCATGAACTGGGAATACCGTTCTTAACCAACTAGTATCAAAGGATGACGCAGGGCTTTGAACAATTGATACTAGTTGGTTAAGAACGGTATATATACATATGAATAGTTATAATGTGAAGTATACTACTAGTATATTTAGCACATATACCAACTGCTCATGTGAAGTGAACGGTGGTTTTTTCATTCAATGACCCCGGTTGCCGTACCAGAGGTATGGTGGAACAATTCAAGATGGAGCAGATGACTTTCGCCAACATGTGCTACGAGTCTCTCAACAGACGATCGGGCCGGGGGATCGACATAGTCTTTGTAAACCATCAAAAGGGAGTTCAGCAGTGAAAATATGGAATTCAATTACCACTTGAGTGGCATTTAAGCATATTAAACATTTTCAACCATGAAAAACCAGGATGAAACTGCAATGTTTTGGGATGAATCTGCTGAGTTTTAAGCACTAATTACTAACGGTGGTTTCTAACATTTTCTAACCGTAACCGAAGCTTCTTGATCTTCCCTCCCAACGTTGCCAACGGCCGACTTGACCTATGGAGTCACTTAAAATTGGGCTAGTCATTTTCCAAGAATACTGCTTCATCAGGGAATCAATGGAATATACAGAGAATACGAAGATGGCTTCCCAAAACCCGAAAACCGATTCCATACACTCTTCAACATTTGATGACTTGGAGCTATATATTGAATAAATCACCGTGCCCCATATAACAAAAAAAACATGGCCAGTCCATCTCTTGTTTTTTTTTGCGGGGGAAACATTAGCCATATACTTTGGTATGAATCATACTTTTTTGACGTTTGAGGCGACGTGGCCACAAAAGTCATGCAGGAGGCAATTTATTGTATGTATATATATATATATTAGTGATGAATGTGATGATATGTGCTTAGGCTTATCTATATATATATATACTGTATATTTATGAACATATATATATATATCCATATAAACATGTCAGACATTCATGTTCTCAGTCATCAAACATGACCCGAATGACGGGATTTATAGATTTATCATCTGTCGACATTGGATATATAAACTGACATTGTGGAAAGCCTCAACCAGCCCCTCTGAGTCCCAATATGCAAGCACAAGCGCAGCAGCGCGTGGCCACGGCCGTGCCTTGGCGATAGGGATTTCACCATGAAAACTGGAGCATTTCAGCAAGAAGAGATGTGGAGATAGCCAGTGAGATGGGCATTTTGTTGGGCAAAAAACACCAGATTCCATAGAACATATGGAGCGATAGCCATAGACTTCCATTTGTGGCATGGGATCAAAGGCGACATGGTGGTGATTGTCCGACATGCGGATGGAAACGACATCATCTTAGGCAAAGAACATGGTGACAGGTGTTTTCTTTATGATGTTTATGATGTTTATGATGTTTATGATGTTTATATATATATATATGATATATCTGGATGAATTACAATGGGAACGGCAAAGGCCGTTGGCATTTTAGATTTTTGCATGACACACCAACAATAAGGTATCAGTCTGCAGTCTCACGCGCTCAGGCTGTGGATCACAAGCTTCGGGAACTAAGGGGAATTATCCCCACATGGTGCTATGATAATAGCTATTTTCAGGTAAGTGAATTATTACAATTCAGCCACAGATACATATAGATACACATCATTGTCTCTATTTACAGATCAATATTGTCCAATATAGAAACATCAATGCCCCCATAAATGCTCATTGTAGGGGAATTTTCCCTGCCATGTTTGATTACCCGATGGTATTTGTTTCTTTTAAAAGAATCAAAGAAGTGAACGTGTTTGGTGAGTCTGCAAGATCATCTCAGTTGATTCTTACGTCTTTGCGACATTACGAGCAGAAACCAGCTTTCAAAAGGATAATGTCACTAGCAACAAATTAAATCCCATGAAATCACTACTTGTTGATGTGTTCATCTTCCGATTTTGCTCAGATGCAAAATCACACCTTCGCGCAGCAGTCTGGCGCACCTGGGTTGCACTAGCGTTCGCGCGTTCGCGTGTTGCCTCTCCATCCATTTCCATGGCTGCGAGGAGCGCGCGATGCAGCAGCGGCAGAGCGCTGAAATGGCGCTACAAAATGCGCAAACGCTGCTACTGACAGAGCAGGCAAAGGGCAGGGCGGAGCCATGAAAGTTACAGCGTTGATGAGATATTCAAGGGGGACTTAGCTATAGATTTAACCATCGATTATTGAGGGGTATTATGGGGTTTAAGCGATTATCTCATGTATGTGGATACAAAAGTGATAAAATGAATGTTGCTCGGTGATTTTGAAGGGGTTTTCACATTTACCTGCTTGAGACGTGCAGCTAATGCAGGATAGGGTCATAATGGGTCATACCGTCATGCTAGGTGTGTCCAAAACTTGGCAAACCCCCCAACTCCACCAAAATAGAAGGGTAATCCTCAATTTCAGACTTCCTAACAGGTTGGACATGTTTTTGACATTGTATATATATATATATATCTATACACACACACACACATGTTTTGCATAGTCTTCTCACTTTGCACATAGCATCTGATAATTTGACATAGCTATGGAACATGGCCATTTAGTTCAATGATTTTCCGTTTAGCATGGTAATAACAATGAGTACTATAGAATAATCATCAAAATGACAATACTAGTAAATAATTATTATAGTAGTGACAATAATGCAACACGGTGATAAACAGTGGCCACGTGTTTGTTATGGTTACTATTATTACAGTGTTATTGATTAAAACTATGTGTAAAATGGTATCAATTTCATTAGAAAAAACATAAACCATCACCATCATCAGCATAAGCATCATCATCATCATCATCATCCTCATCCTCATCATCATAAATATGTTTACTATAACTAGTACCCCCCGGTAAATTAACATAGGCCGGAGGGTAATAGTTATAGTCAGTTATAGTAAACATATTTATGATGATGATGATGATGATGATGATGGTTTATTTTTACTCTAATTATGATGTGTTTGTTCTGTGTTTGTATACTAAGTCACCATTGCTGCTATTGTTCATGCTGCTATATTCGACTCCAGGCAGAGATGAAGAAGGCTGGAGGCGAACTGAGGCAGGTGGTGCAAAGGGTCACTCGGCAACCAGGCACAGGCGGGAAAGCCCTGCATGGCCCGAAATACCAGTTTTGTGTCAAAAACAACATGTATGGAATGTACAACTCCATAGAAATCACCATTTATAATTGGTAAAGAGCTTTGACTATGGTTGGTTGATGATGATAGTTGTTTAATGTGGATTTTAATGATCAACATGTGAACACATATTTGATATAGTTGAGACATGATGCTTGGTTGATGAATTAGTTTGGGTATTATATATTCTACCCAACATGATTCAGGATTATCATTATTCATTGAGAATCCCGTTTTGAAGCAGGTTTTGAAGGGTTTTTTCCTTGCCTTATTGTGTGTAGGAGCGAATTGATCATATTTCAACATATTTGATCTTTCTTTCGGAACCGTAGAGCAAGAGGTTTTGAACAAATAAAAGTGCGCATGATAAGTTAAGGTTATGTTTGAATGTTTCTAATGTCGCGGTCCCAAAAATCATGTCTTTTTCATCTACAGGGTAAACGTCAACAAATCGATCTGGAAGACTTGCTGGGCCGCCTGTCTGGCCCCAACCAGTGGAAATCATGTGTTGTTATCACTATGATTGACGATCTTTATGAGTAAATATTTTACTATTAGTTTGTGATTGACTATTGTGTTCAGATTTGATTGACTATTTCGGAAGATCGCTAATCGCTAATCTTTTACTATCTTTCTGATTTTGGTCTATATAAGATTGTTAATTCACACATTTTTATATGTTGCTTCACGTGGGATTCATTAGTCAATGGTCTTATCGTTACAATGCATCATTATCCTATAATCAGGAATCACGGCCTATGTGTTCTTTCTACTTTTATCATTATTACTACGATAGTTATCATTATTTCTATTAAATTACTAGTTTTACTCTTATCACTGTTGTCACAATTTTGCTATCATTGCTGGTATTACCAGTAATTACTATTCCTATTAGTACTATTATTACCTTTTTTATATTTACTGTCTTGTTGAGTATTGCTACTTTTTCCCTATCACTAATATTAGAATCATTTTTGTAATTACGACTATTTCTATTACTTTGTGTATTAAAAAACAGAAACATATTTTTATTGCTATTACTATTGCTTCAATTACTTTCACTACGATAACCAGCATCAAGATTATCATTACTTTTTGAAGTATCCTTTCAATTTATATAATACCACTACTTATCATTTCTGTGGATTACCGTATCACTACTATGATTAGTAAATGTATAATTTGCCTTCCAGGGGTTATCTTATCATGATAAGGCTGTCAACTGTCATTTTTTGTGGTTCCCATAAAAAAAATGTTGGTTTATAACCACCACTATCTAGTTTCGACTGCACCTAGTTCTACCAACTTAGACCCTCCACCCGAAAAATGCTTCAAGTACTACACCTATATTGGTAAAACCAGCATTTTTATAGGTACACACCGACATTTTTCACGAGTTTTGCTGGTGGAATCCCATGAAATCATCCCATGAAATCATCACCTCAGGCTGAAGCCTTCCTGAAAGAGAACCGCAACGCCTTACCGCAGGATGTTGATATGCTTCCCATGGGATCATTATCCGGTTCCTAATTAATGTTGGATATATAATGGGATTTTTAATGGGATATAGTGGGATTATCAACCTAATTAATGTTGGATATATAATGGGATATATATATATGGATATATGATATATGATGGGATATATATATATACCAATAGTTCCCAATATTAATGGGACATGAGAAGATGAGAGACAGACCCCCACTATTGAAAGAACCCTGCGCTCAGACGCTCTCGGGAAGAAACCATCTAAAACTTTAAATTAAATCCATCTAAATCCCTAACCTAAAGCAAAGATTGCTTCGTTTTTGGCCAGTGTTTTCGCTTATCCTCTGAGAAGTATATAGCATTGTCTCAAGTTTGACAGCTCAATCTACTCTCTTGAAGAAGAGTGCGAAGTAAAACACAGTGACACTCAAACCTTCTCAAACTATCTTCAAACTATAAACTTCCTCCCAGAACGTTCTCAAAGTTTCTCAAAACATTCTCAAGCTCAAGCAAACCTACAAATCACCTACAAATCAAATCAAAGCAAGTCAAAACATCAAGTAGCTACGACGTGGGTCAAATATAACATCGAAAACACAACAAACATCCTCCTCCAAGGTTAGGTATGCACAAAGTGGTTCCATTTGGTTCCTGCTGTTCGGAAAACAGTTCCTCGATTCCCACAAACTGGTTCCATGGTTTCCTAACCTTCTCAGTGTGTCATTTGAAGGTGCCCGATCATGTTGAATCCAAGCTTTTGATGGCTGAAAACAAACCCTTGATTGTTGAAACTATATTTTTTTGCATGTTTAAATTACATCCCAATTTTCGTTCGGCCTCCCTGACCCTCGAGTCCCGCGGAAAAATCGGTCGTTCGCAGGACAAGGTGCAGCCGCTCTGTGCCCTGTGCACGCGCTTCATGTCCTTCGCGCAGCAGCTTGGAGCGGGTCAGGAGACATGTGGCGCGACTCGGGTCTGTGGATGGGCTATGGTTACTGAACGAACCAACTACACTTCACTCAACTATCTTAATTAACTGGTTTACTATGGTTTATACTAACAACTTAAATACTGAACCGGTTTGCTATGATGGTTTACTAAGACTGGTCAGATAAATAGTATGATTAGTAAATTTAACTTGTTTACCATGACTATGGTTAGAAGTATAACTAACGATGGTCAGGTATGATATGTCAATAATAAAACTACATTCAACTGATTCTTAGCTACCTGGTAATTGCAAATTGATTATACCATGGGTGTATCACATGAAATACATATGTACGACATATATATATATATTTATATATTTATTTATTTATGTACTGTATTTATTTATTTATTTATTATAGTATCCTTTGACATATGGCGTCCAAACCAGTTATGATTACCAGTTCACAAACTTCATGCCCCATCTTGGTAGCAGAACTGGTACGAAAAAGTATTTAGAGCTCGCTCATCTTTGAATTTGTGTGTCTGTTTGACTGTTTGAACCTAGGGTATCCCAAAATTTTGAGGGTTGAAATGTTTGGATCATCCCCTTCACTGTTAAGATCGCCAAAAAATTGGAGGTCTCCGCGTTTTTTGGGACACAGCCATCTGGGAAGAGGGAATTCCTGTCAGGAGGAAGCCATGACAGGCTCCGGTCAGTCGCAGGCTGGTATTTTGGGATTCTTGGAATTGGATTAGCCATTGGAATTGGAGGGCCTGGAATTTTGGCCATTGGAATTAGCCATTGGAATTCGGGATTGTAAAGATTGCTATCCTTTGTATCTAAGCTTCCTTTTGGTGTATGGTCTCATGAAACCGAAAAGATCCATGGGCCAGTTCGAGCTACGAACAGCTTCCTAAGCAGTACTTAATGGGTCGTGCAACATCTATAGGTCATCATAGGTCCATATTTTCATGAGAATCCCTAAACCCTCATCTTTCCCCATACGCCACGGCCTCCATTCCGAATAAACCTCGGCACCTTTCGTGCGGTGGCAGGTGACTCCCAAAGCTGGACAACAAGCTCCAGGCAGGTCCCATCATGTCGCATCACCATAACTGGGGAGCATGGTACCCCAAAATCCCATGGGAACCATGGCTTTAAACATCTTTATTGGTTCTTTAAAATGGCCATATTTTTTTTTTCCTGAGCACTTAACTTGGACCAATCCTTAAGGGAATGATCATCAAACCCATGATGATTTCCCCATGATCATAGTGAAGGTCAATATCTTAGCCCCATCACAGGTAGTTGACTGCAGGTGTTTCCATGAGTTCATACACCTTCATGATTATATTTATACAATTTTATACATATAAAATCATATATATATATATATCCCTATGGATCCAAACACTGTCTGAGAAGGTACTTTATCCTTTAAATCATACCCCAAACACTTCCTAAGAAGGTACTTGGATCCATAGGGTCTATCTATTATGAGAGGGTGACCACTACCCAACTCAAAAATGGACTCTTCAACTTTGAATTTTGGGACACTTCTTAACTCTCTAATTCACCCAACTTAAGACTTTTACATGTTTTTCTTTGTGTTTTTTCGGCCTTTGCCTTGATGTTTTTTGACCTTTTCACATTTTCTCGTAATTCTCTCTTTGTTTGTGTCTTGTCGTATTTCTCTTTGTGGTATTTCTCTTCGTCGTATTTCTCTTTGTCGTATTTCTCTTTGTCGTATTAGTATTTGTCTCATTTCTCTTTGTTGCATTTCTCTTTGTCGTATTTCTCTTTGTCGTATTTCTCTTTGTCGTATTTTTCTTTGTCGTATTTCTCTTTGTCGTATCTCTGTTTGTCGTATTTCTGTTTGTCGTATTTTTCTTTGTCGTATTTGTCTTTGCATTATTTCTCTTTGTCGTATTTCTCTTTGTCGTATTTCTAATGTCGTATTTCTTGCCACTTCTGAAACCAATACACCTGCAGAAAGAAATGGAACAACATACAACAACATAAAGAAATCCACATTTTGAATCAATCAAGTCAGAAAGAGGGCCGGATCTTGGCCGGATTCAGCTGGATTCGGAATACGACAGCCAGCACAGCCAGACTGCCCCAAGCGCCAATCATTTGATAGAAACTTCACGCAACTTAGGATAGGGAGTGCTTGGACCGGAAAGAGAAAACGCCAAAGCTTGGGTTCATCAATATTTAGCTGCATTAAAACAAAACGTTCACACTATTCAAACACATCGTTTAACAGATTGAAACAAGAACCTTTGGTGACATAACATCTAATCAAAATAATGAACCTGGAATAAATATATCTATGGTGCATCTATATCTCAATCGCCGCATGACACTGGGATTCTTTCAAAAAATATGAGGAAAGCGTTCGAAAATCTATATTTGGAAACTTTAATGCGGGAATGCATTTACAAGTGTTGGGGGTTTAAAACGCAAGGAGGGAACAAAATCCAAAACGAGGGGTTCGAATCCACGGGCGGACCCACATAATAATATCTGATGAGCGGGCAAGGAAATAAAGTCTGCCGTGAGGAAGTAATGATAGACATGAATTTGAAAAAACATTTGGGGATAGTCTGGATGGGTATACTACTGGAATCTGCTGGACCGTTATAGTAAATACTATGCAACGGGCGATTTTGAAAACAAACGGGACTCCAGAAGTCTTATTCCGGGAAACCAGAACGGATCAGGATACAATTATGTATCTCGCTGGCATTTAGTACGAAGGAAAAATTGGATATATAATAAATCTTACAGTATCTAAAACCATGACTGCAAATTGGAATTCTAACCCCAAATCAAGTTCAAACAGCCCTGAATCAAATGAAATTCCTTAGCGATCGAAGCAAATTAATCCAATGAAACAAACGAAACGCATGGCATGAAATTAAATATGAAATGAACTGAGCTAAACGTAATTAACTGACATGAAATGAACATGACATAGCAACGAAATGAAATGAAATGAAGTGAACCGAACATGAGCAGGAAAATGATATTGGTAAATAAAGGGGTATGTAACGGATGAAATGAAACAAATGAAATGAAAAGAAGGAAGGCATTGGAATGGAATGAATGAAATGAATGCAATGATGACTGAATGGACGGGTAAATGAGTGAATGAATGAGAAAAACAAATGAATGAAGTGAATGGAAAGAATGACATGACATGGGATGGAATGAAATGAAGCGAATGAAACGGCTGAAGCGATTGAATTGACTGAGCAAATGAAACGAATAGAGGGAATGAAACAAATGAAACGCAGGAAAGGAATGAAACGAACGAAGGGAATGAAGTGATTGAAACAAATAAAAGCAATGAAACACATGAAAGCAATGAAACGAAGAAACGATCGCAGCCTGCTTCGCAAACCAAAAAAGAACCATTCAGAAGCCAAAAACCAACGATTCAAAAACGAAAATGTGCAATTCAGTGAAATCAAAATGAACGATACAGAAACCAAAGCTGTTTTGCTTCAGAAACTAACAGAGCGATTCAGAAACCAACGCAGGCGCAATTCAGAAACCCAAATTCAGAAACCCAAACGACCCACAGAGATACCAAAACGACCCCTTCTGATATGTTACACCTGGAGCATGACAAGAGATCAGCCCCACCACTCCCTCTGAACGACACGTTGCATTTTGAGCACCAAAAGAGACCAATCCAGTCCCGTTTCTGCATTTACAATTCTTCGCGCCACCGCTGCGGTGAAAAACAAGTTTCAGACTGCAGATAAAAAAGGTGTAAAATGTATTGGAAAGCTAGGCTGCTGGCCATTTCGCAACCTTTCTAGCAGGAACTATCGGGAGGGGCTGTGAATTGCAGGACTTGCAGGTCTTTGGCGACGGGTCCTGCTGAAAGTGCAGCACTTCTTAGAATAAATCATCGGAAACTCCATTACTTGCTCCTGCCGCATTTTTACTGACATGACAATGTACATAAAATGACTGGTATATAAAGATCATGCAGTGATACCACATAAACAATATGGCCCTGTAATGATCGAAATGGATTATAGATGATTATTTTCCCACTTATAGATGAATTTGTGGTCATCCAATATATCAATTTCCAACCAATGTCCCACTTCTTCAAAAACGGTTGGGTCCTCCCAATTTGGGACCCTCGTCACGGGCCGTCCCTTCGGGCACGCTTCGGACCTTCGGACCTAGGCGGTGCGCTGCATCCCTTGGTGGACTACCAGCAGAGGGTCATGATTCTGGAGGACCTGTGACGATTTCGGGGGGTGAAAAAGATTGGGAGAAGTATGAATTACTGGTTGGTGGTTTCAAACATAACATTTTTTATTTTTCCATAATATATGGGATAATCCTTCCCATTGACTAACAGTTCGCCATGGTATAGATGGCCCATAGAAATAGATGGTTTACTAATCTTAATAGCATTGTGATTTTCCATGGCGAACTGTTAAATAACCAGAGGGTAATTTGGGTAAAACATGTCATAAACCATCTCCCAGATCACCATCAATAGGTGGTATGGTAGCCATTCCCAATGGGTGGTTTATGACATTGTTTTACTCACACTATGTAACATTAGGATAACTGGGATAATTTGTATTGTAATTTATTGGGAAAAAAGGGGATAAGTATGGAATTTGTAAAATCTTGGGTATCTCCATGATTGGGAGTGCACGCAGTTGCAGCGCGAAGCACATTTGGAAGCAAACATGTTAAAAATACCACATGCTCGGACCATTTTTTTGGACATTGAAGCGTCGTTAGTTGTCAGGTTTGCTAACATGATTTTGTGTGACAGGTGCAGCACTTCGTATGACCTGGCCTCACTTTTACGTGGCAGGCACAGAACTTTAGACAGATGGAACGGAAAAATCGCAAAACAAATTGGTGCGAGGACGTCAGCTCTGCACTGAACTTTCAATTTTTTTGAAGGAAGTCTCGCAGAATTGCTTCGTTTTTGATGTTGCTTCTTTTTTTATGTTGTCAATTTTGAAACTTGAGGAAGTCTCGCAGAATTGCTTCGTTTTTGACGTTGTCAAGTTTAAAACTCGCGGAAGTCTCCCAGAATTGCTGCGCTTTGGATGTTGTCAAGTTCAAAAAATTGAAGAAGTCTCGCAGAATAGCTTCGTTTTCAATCTTGCAGGTAGACAGATAGACAGACAGATAGACAGAAAGATAGTTAGATAGACAGGCAGATAGATAGGTAGACAGGCAAATAGATAGATGAATGCTGTAGATGGATAGACAGATAGAAAGAAAGATAGAAAGATAGAAATATAAAAATATAGAAAGATAGAAAGATAGAAAGACAGATAGATAGATAGATAGATAGATAGATAGATAGATAGATAGATAGATAGATAGATAGATAGATAGTTCGATAGATAGACAGAGAGATACATAGATAGATAAATAGATTAGATTAGATTAGATTAGATTAGATAGATAGATAGATAGATCGATAGATAGATTGATAGATAAAAAGATAGGTAGATAGATAGATAGATAGATAGGTAGATAGATAGGTAGATAGATAAATAGATTAGATTAGATTAGATTAGATAGATAGATAGATAGATAGACAGAGAGATACATAGATAGATAGATAGATAGATAGATAGATAGATAGATAGATAGATAGATAGATAGATAGATAGATAGGTAGATAGATAGAAAGATAGATAGATAGATAGATAGATAAATAGATAGATAGATAGGTAGATAGATAGATAGAAAGATAGAAACATGTAGGCAGATAGATCGATCCATAGATAGACAGATAGATAGATAGATAGATAGCTGGAAAGACAGGTAGATAGATAAGATAGATAGATAGATAGATGGAAAGACAGGTAGGTAGATAGAAAGACAGGTAGGTAGATAGATAGACAGATAGATCGAAAGACAGGTAGAAAGACAGATAGCTAGACAGACAGATAGGTAGATAGATAGTTAGATAGGTAGATAGAAAGATAGATAGATAACCAGACACTCCAACCACCTTTCGGTCCATCAGTGGATTTGGTCTGCCATCCATGCATCACAGCAACCAACCTCTCCTATAGGTTTCCTACTTTTGAAACTTCTGCCGACGCCTTGCGCGGTACTGATGGCAATCAAGAGACTTATGTGGATGGTACATTTTTCATGTTTTTTTTTATGCAATGATATCTTGGACCCAATGATCCAATGAGTGGAAATTTTGGGGAATAATTGGAATAATGAATGGGTATATTATAAATTATAAATGGGATGATGTAATGGATAGTAATATGATAGTGACCAGTGATTGTTTTTGGTGGGATTTAGCCAATCAGATTTGGAAACACGGTGGTACCATGGGGACACATATATTGAATTGTTTTATATTTATGTATACATATGGGAGTCGATCTTAAGGTCCATGTATATAAGGGTTTTTTAATTGCCAAGGCCTCCTGGGTTCCAACTTGAGACCCCGCGAAAGTTTTTTTTTTGAGTTTGTGAAAGATTTTTTTTGGCAAAAGAAATGGCGAACATTCATCTTGATGAGGTGGCTTACGCAGCTTAATCTCTTATTTTCCTAGATGAAGTGAGAACCTTATGAATTAGTTTTGGCAGGCAAAAAATAGACCCAAACGCTATGGTGTAATCAAGTGGAGCTGAACCCCCAACCACAATTCAGGGTGTGGATTTTTCGCGAAAGTTCCGCGAAAGCAGTGGCGAAAGAGAAGGTGCCCATGGGAACCAGTAGCCCACACAGCACCTTTGCAGCGGCAAGACAAGGGAACCTGGTAAACAATGAAACTTTGGTGGAATTTTCCCACCATGGCCTTGCATCTACCCTTGGCTGTCTCCCGGATCGCTCACACAGTTACCGTTTGCATACTGTTTGAGTGCGCCTCAACAGCACAAAAGTGGATAGCTGCAACCCTGCGAAACAATGTTTTATTTGCGAAGAACGGCCGTTTGCAGATAAACAAAATAGATCAACCGCCATATTTTTACAATTTACAATTATATATGTGAAACATATATATATACATATACCTAGAGACTCGAGCGGCATCACAATTTTGATGCTGGTCTAGCAAAACAGTGTTTCATCTGATTGCCGCTGAAATTTCTGGCATGCGCCGTTCTTTGGGAAACAAATATATTTTAGATTTTGGTGTTGGAATGCGCCGTTTTTGCCAATGATTGCACCGTTTTTGCCCGTGATTGCGCCGTCCTTGCCCGTGCAGAATTTCCATTGCGCCGTTTTTGTGGAATTGCGCCATGTTTTCTACATTGCGCCATTCTTGTGGACTTGCGCCTGAATTTTTTGTAGGTTGGGAATGCGCCCGAAATTTTGGATACATGAGTCTCTAGGTATATATATGTGAAAAAAATATACAGATTCTAGTTACACATGAAATGTTGTAACGCGAAGGTCTTCAGCTAAGCCCATGTCCCTGCAAAGACCCTAGATACTCCAAATGACACATCGAGTATTCATCAACAGAACCATCAGATCCGTTTTTTCTTGTGGAATTTCTGGCATGTAGGTATTGGATGATATTGGGATTTCTTAAGTTATATGTGGGATCCCCAAGTCATCATGGTTGTGTCAATGCTAAGTCATGGTCATCCATAACTATGATGATGTGGGGCTACCCCCATGACTTCGGAAACCTCCATATACAAAGTGCATCACAACCTCCATTTTCCATTCAACTGTACCTGCAATGTTTTTCCCCCCGCCCGTTATAACTGTTACTATAAGTTGGTTTTAACAACCAGCTAGCTACAACTATGAAAAAAACACAATTTATCTTACCCAACCTATAGTTACAGAACAATTTACCCCACATTGTGCCAGCCCAGCATACTCTGCAACTCTTCATGGCCTGATATCAAGGAGCAGAAGACGGATGAAAACCAGATGGATGAACTGCAACTTGCTTGCAAGAATGCTCAAGATGAGTTCACCCATGGATAATTATTCTGTATGTTTCGTTGTTTTCCCACGGACACCTTCACTTGGCAGGAAAATCTATAGTTATTGTTTTCTCCCCATTGATTAATCCATATTAATCCATCATGTGGAAAAATCGCAGAAATAAGGAGATAGAAACCAGTATTTTTAATCAGTAATTTACCACAAATTATATTTATAGTTTAATCCACCATTAGTTTCCACATCATAGGGAATATGAATATGTCATGTTTCTACATATATGTTGATCCAAGCCTTAGACATATTCAATCAATCATCGGTAATAATGGGGATGCAATTGGGATATAGTGGGGGATTGAATGGGGTATATCATGGGGTATCTATACGCAACCATATATGATATGGGAATGTGTGAGTTATATCCTCAATTTACTGTCGTTGAAGTAGGGCAATTTATAATTTTTGTGGGTAGCCTAGTTTCAGATAAACCAGGTTGGTGGTTTCGAGGGGGTGAAACTGGCAGCCAAAATTGGATTCATCCAAGCAGATCATTGTGATGTCTGAAGTCACCTCAAAATGACGCAATTAATTTTTGTCCCAGCCATAAGTTGTTTTATAAAGCCATGAACTAGTTCTTTACTGTTCTTTATATCCTCCATAGAACTGAGTTCACCAAGTGGAGTGCATCCTTGAGCCCCATCTCTAGGTTCACCAGTCGAGACGAAGACGTGGCCATGGCTGTTCCCTTCGGCATGGGCAACCCAACCCCGGCAACAGGCGGATCTGGTCGGGTTGTCTGCAGAATAGATATATATATATATATATAAATAAATAGGTTAATGAAACGAGCCTCTGGCAATTGAACAGTTTGCTTTGGAACATCACCATCGTTAATAGGTATGAATGGATCCAAACAGATTTTTTTTCTTTGCTCTGGCCGTGTTCCAGAGCAAACTGCAAGAAATTACCGGAGGTGATATGTTTCTGGATCTCCATCAATTACTTATCCACCATGGAGATTCAATACACTTGAACTGCATACTTCTTCTGTGTAGACATGACAGAGAGAGGTATGTTACATCTATCATGATGCATCCCCCAGTTAATTAGCCTCATTTTAACCTATAGAATAATATTTCGTTATGTACATGTAATATGTTTTAATCTACATTGAATTGATGTAACATAATGCAGGTAAATTCGAACACCAAATGTACATTTGTACATTTGAACACAACTTTTTTTGGAATGAATTATAGTGATTCATCAACCTGAAATCAGGTCGTTTTGGGTGATTCCCGCTACCAACCATCATCATCAACGTGGTAAACTCAATCATAAACCATCCCAGTAAGAAAACATCTCGGTGTTGTGTCTCATCATTTCATTGCTATAATAGGGTGTGCCCAATTTAATAAGACACACTTTTTTTGAGGATGGTGATTATTGTTAGGTTTACCTCGTTATAGATTCCGAAACTGATGTGATTGAAACGTCGCTGCAACCTGGACGTTTGCCCGGAGTTGATGTCCCACAATCAACGTATTGTTCAGAGAGTGTGGCTAATTTTGATGCCTCATGAAGATAAAGTTGATGTTATTTCCCCAATCAACATATTGTTCTGAGGAGGTGGCGAATTTTGATCCCTCATGAAGATAAAGTTGATGTTGTTAGCCCGTTCAGCATATTGGTCATAGGGGGTGGCGGATTTTGTTCCCTCATGAAGATAATGTTGATGTAATTTCCCGATTCAACATATTGGCCATAGAGGGTGGCGTGTTTTTAGCCCGTTCAGCATATTGGTCATAGGGGGTGGCGGATTTTGATCCCTCATGATGATCAGGTGATATTGTTTCCTCATGAAGATAACTGTAATCAAGGTATCTTTCACATGCCACCGTGGCCTAATTTTCCCCCTTGGCCTTGCTTGGATTCGCAACTTCCCAGCAACACAGAATTGTCTCTGTTATGTCACAATGGTGAGTCGGGGCGAACGTTAAGGTTGCGGACAACATGTTCAATCCACAAAAACTTACTGTATATACAGGACATCAACCATAAACCATAGATAAGCCTCGTAAAAACCAACCGTTTTTTGGGGCCCAAGGAGGCCTATTTCTACCTCCACTGGTTAAGGCCCGGTGCCCGTGGGCCCTGTGAACACCGGCAGCGCAACCGCGGTCACGCAAGCGCCGGCGCCGCCGGTAGATCAACTTGCGGCCTACAAGAACCGACTCATGGAAGAGGCCGGGTTGACGTTCCCTTGAGGACCCTGGACGGCAGATTATGGCCAAACATATATAGTATAGATGAATATAGTTTTTTTTATTTATTATATATATATGTGTGTATACATGAATTTGTTTTATTCTAGACAATGCTATGTATAGCCCTGTTTAACAATCTTATAGTAATATGGGTATATTTTTGGCCCGAAGTAACAATAGTGATCTTAACTATAGGAATAAGACCATGGTGATATATGTTTCCACGGCCCCGGAAATAAAGAGTAACCCCTAACTTTTTTGTTATCTCCTTAGTGTCTCGGCTTAAGCTGATGAGTTGTGCCACTTGCCGAGTGTTCTCCGGGACACCGGTCTGTGGCGCTTGCCGGGCGGCAGCCCGCATACAGGGCCTCCTGGAGTCGGGTCGTCTGCCACTCGTTGAGGAGAGGCGGGTGACTGGACTGCTGAGAGGCGTTGCTGGGGAGTTAGCAGACCTCGTTGAGGCTGCTCTCCCAGGTGGAAGGGGTCCCGAGGAAGGAGGGACTCCACAATCTAAGGGGGAGACACTGGGCCGCACCCCCGGGCCTGAGAAGGAAGCCGCTGTCAAAGAGGAGCAGTTCAGCGGGTCACAGTACAGCTATTCAGAAGGAGAGGAGGAAGAACCTGCAGAGGAAGAGGCGGCCGTTGAGGAGGGTCCAGAAAAAGTCAAAGAAGAGACCATCGAGGCGGTACCTAGGGAGGAACCCAGGAAGAGAGGTCCTCCTGAAGTGGACGGTGCGGGAGGAGACAGATCCAGGGGTCCTCCCAAAGCTGAGCAAGAGGAAAGGGCGTCGTATAAGGTGAACCCCAAGTTCAACCCGCGCTATCTTACAGAAAGATTGCATCTTTTCCCAACTGGGAAAGCCTCTGCGGTGCCCAGGAGGGCAGGCGGAGAGTGCGGCCATAGCAGCAAACGAGGGGCTGAGCAGGGACCAGGTGGTGGAGATCATCACGGAGGAGACGGCGCAGAGCGTGGCAGCAGGAGACACCGGGGGCAAGAGCGGCCCGCATCTCCTGAGAGGCCACCACTGCCCAGGAGGTACCCGGCTGACAACCCAGAGCGCAAGCCGCGAGGGCCCAAGACCAAGAAGAAGAAGAAAAACAAGAAGAACAAGGGCGTCAAGAGACGTGAGCGAGGTCGGACCTTTAGGACCGGCCGTGAGGATCGGAAAGGGGACCGACGCCGGTGGTAGGCATGCCACCGAAGGCAAAAGCAAAGGCCAAGCCCAAGGCCAAAGCGGCGGGACACCCCATGCACAGGCCAGCAGCCCGAGTCCGGGCAGGGAGGCTGAGGCGTCCGGCTCGGCGTGCAGGAGGCGAGGTGTCTCCTTGGGACGCTGGGCTCGAGGTGGACCTGTGGAAAGTGTCGCCGCTGGAGCTGAGGCCCGGCACGTCCTTGGTCATTACCAAGGGCGACTATTATGGAGCCGAAGCTCGCCTGGCTGGAGAGATCGTGAAGTACGAGATGTCGCACGAGGGCAACACCATGATCATCAAGCCCACAGGGACGGATCACGAAGGCATTTTACGGGCATGCACAGCTCGGCCCCAGGAGACCTTCAGTTGCCACGTATGCCCACAGGGGTGTGCAAGGCAAGTCACCGGGGACTACATCATACATGGGCTGACGGGGCGCAAGAAGAAGGACACGGACGAAGAGGGATGGGTCTCAAACTTGGGACCCGGAGAAGCCGCAGTAGATGTCGAGGACGAGAATGCAGCGCTGAGGGCAAGAGCGAGCGCACTGCAGCAGCGGGAGGGGAACCAACAGGGGGCCGCTCCCGGAGGTATGAACCCTCTCCCCGACCCAGGAAGGGCGCGGGAGGAGGGGTCGAGTTCCAAGAAGAAGAAAAAGAAGAAGAAGGCAAAGGAGGCACAAAAGGCCAAGGATATGGCCGACGGGAGAGACCCTGCCCTGGCAGTGCAGAAGGATCTTGCAGTGATCTTTGGAGGCACAGGCCTCGATCCCAGGGAAAAGGTGCGTCGCAGGGTTCAGGCGAAAGCACAAAGGGTGGTCTCCCGGAAGAAAGCGAAGAAGCAGAGCGACTCATCTTCAAGCAGTTCGTCTTCGACAACCCCGTCGCTGGTCGAGCCCCAAGGAATCGAAGCAGTCTTTGCGGAAGAGACCAAGATCCGGGCCGTAGCGGAGAGGTTTCCTGGGGCGCTCTGCATGGAGACGGTGGCCAACATGAAGCGATCTCTCCTAGTGACATCAGGAGAGGAGCTCGAAGACAACGGGTTGAGGGCGGTAGCAATGCTCTATTACCGGAACATCTTGTCGAAGGTCTCGAGTGGAGCCCAAGGGAGGGAGCTGTTGAATCTTTCAGCAGCTCTCGACCAACTACTCAAGGGTCGGATTGCAGGCGCAGCCGACATATTGGCTCAAAGACTGAAGGCGCAGCAGTCGGTTTGCCAAGGCACACATTGGAACATTGCGGTCCGCCTGGAGATCCCACCCTCAGATCAGAACATCCTGGTTCAAAGGAGCGAACTTCAGGAAGCCCAGCGGGAGGACTATCAGGATTCGCGAGCCAGATGGCGCACCCAGTCCTCGGCCGGGGGCAAGAGCGAGCAGAAGGGCAAGAGCAAGGGATCCAAGGGAGATCGAGAGCAGTGGCGCCGCGAGGACCGGAAGGAGGAGGACAAGAACAAGAAAGGAAAAGGGCAGGAGAGGAAGTGATCTTCTCTCCTGAGTACAAAAAGACAGAGTACAGTGCATCGGATTACCCTAGCTCAGCTCCCAGCACAATCATTTCGGGAGAGGGGCCGGGGTTTCTGCACCCTGGGTTGGTCCCGGGGAGCGGGAGTTTTCCAGCTGGTGACCTGGCCGATTTGAACGGCAGTGGCCACTGGTCGTTTACTGAGGAGATGGGACCTTTAGTGTCCAGTCAGAAGAACCTCAGTCTTTTTCCCCCATTACCTCCCAAGATTATTGCGGGAGGGATACAGGCTGGTAATGAGCCAGCTCCTTTTGTTTCACTACGTGAAGAGGGCGTAGACCTTGAGGGGGCTGGACAGACGGTCCCACGTGTCGTGCGAAAAAATGGGATGGAGCCTGACCTGGTTGGTAAGAGGGTTATTGAGTTGGGAAGTAGGGTTTTCCACTACCTTTTAGAAGTTTTTCCACTCCGCAGCACGTCCACGGGTAAAAGAAAGCCTGCCGATCTCTTTCCTTTACCCACTTCTAAAGGTTCTCTGGGAAAAACCCTCCCTGACTTTGATGACTTGAGTCTTGCCTGGATGCAGTCAGTGTGTGTGTCTTTGAACTCGCTGTGGGGTGATTGCCTTCTGTATGATGGTGAAGCCTCCAAGATTGGAGCTCAATGTCTGCAACGTCTGGGTAAGGATGTAAAGAGGCTGCAAGGTCTGCAGGGGACATTGGAGGCCTTCTCGTGGTCCGAGTTCTTCATGACAAGGGGTATCGACTATAAGGGTGATGAAGTACGCACGGCTAGGGCTTTTGAATGGAGGAACATTGAGCCCGCTCTCCCTCGTGAAATCGGGAGGGTACCACTGGAGGATGTGTGCACGCTGGGTGCACATCACTATGTGGTCAACTTCGACTTGTATTTGAAGGATCGGGATGCCTGGACACTGGGTCGGGCTCCCCGGGTAATGGTCGCGGATGAGCATTGGCCGGAGGTATGCACTGGCTTGTTGCGCTCGGGGGTTTGCACCCTGCTCCCGGCGGAGGACCTTTTCGACACTGGGAAGGGTCCTCTGCTTAACGGGTTGTTCGGGGTCACCAAGGAAGAATGGGCCGGTGACGTGGAAGTCTATCGACTCATCATGAATCTCATTCCCCTGAACAATCTGGTGCACCCTCTGCGAGGAGATGTGAACACCCTTCCTATGTGGTCCATGATGAACCCCTTTTTCATACAGCCGGGGGAACAATTGTTGATCAGCAGTGAGGATGTGAGATGTTTCTTCTATACCATGGCGGTTCCTCCGTCATGGTGGAAATATCTCGGCTTCAACAAGCGAGTCCCTGACTGTTGCTTGCCTGCACATCTTCAGGGTCGGGAGGTTTACTTGGCATCAAAGGTCCTGCCAATGGGATTCCTCAATTCCGTGTCATTGGCCCAACATGTACACCGGAATCTGGCCCTCTGGAGCGGTGAGGCCGACGATGATGTGAACCTCCCCGAAAACGAAATCAGAAAGGACCGTTCCAGTACGGTTGGGAACCCTTCATGGAGAATCTATCTGGATAACTATGACCTTCTGGAACGTGTAAAGGCCACCGGAGTCACCAGTGTTCAGGGAAGCATGGCACCATCCGTATTGGCTCTCCGGAATGAGTATGAAAAATGGGAGGTGCCTCGCAATTTGAAGAAGAGCGTCTCCCGGGCCCTTCGTGCTGAAGTCCAAGGAGCGCAGGTTGATGGAGAGGAAGGCGTAGCCTACCCTCGGGAGAGCAAGCTCCTTAAGTACATTGGGGCGGCTATCACCCTGGTCCGGGAAGACCGGGTCTCCCAGAAACAGCTTCAAGTGGTTTGCGGTGGACTGGTCTACTTTTCAATGTTTAGACGACCACTGCTTGGTTGTCTCAACGCCGTGTGGGCGCTCATCGAATCGTTCAATCAATCAGGGGCCATGGTCCAGCCATTCCCAGACAACTGCAAGGCGGAGATCATGCGCTTGGTGGCGCTGGTCCCCCTGGCTCGGTTGGACTTCCGGCTCCCGTTTCATGAACAAGTAACCTGTAGTGACGCTTCGTCAACGGGAGGTGGGATCTGCGCGTCCGCGGGGATCTCCCGATGGGGTCAGGTAGCAGCATTGGGAAAGCTCCGAGGTGAGCTCCCTGAGCTCAGGAGCGAACACCAGGTGCTTACCATTGGACTGTTTGATGGTATTGCCGCTCTTAGGGTGGCAGCTGACCTCCTGGGTCTGCACATCATCGGGCATGTCAGTGTGGAGATTGACTCCCATGCAAGCCGGGTAGTCGAGTCTCATTTCCCTGAGGTCAGACAGGTGTCCGACGTGCAGTCCGTAGACGTAAACATGGTCCGGGAGTGGAGCCGTGAGTACTCCCAGGCGTCAGTTGTGTTGATCGGGGGAGGCCCGCCCTGCCAAGGCGTCAGTGGGTTGAATGTGGACAGGCGGGGGGCGTTACGTGATGAGCGCTCCAAGCTGTTTGTGCACGTCCCTCGTATTGCAACCTTGGTGAGGCAAGCTTTCCCCTGGTGCCAGGTGCACTCCTTAATGGAGAGTGTTGCGTCTATGGACCAGGTTGATCGGGAGTACATGTCTGAGACTTTTGGGTGTGCTCCCTGGAAATGTGATGCTGGTACGTTGACGTGGTGCAGCCGTCCAAGGTTATACTGGCTCACCTGGGACATCGCGGAAGGTCCTGGAGTTGTGTTGGACTCCAATTGCGTTCCCGCGGAGGTGGTTCTACATGCATGGCAGGATTTGGAGGAGGTATGTCAGGAAGGATGGATCAAGGTTGACCCCTCGCGACCGTACCCCACCTTTACAACATCGCGTCCCAGGGTGGCACCCGGGCGTAAACCTGCTGGCATCAGCCAGTGCACCGCGGGTGAGTTGGAGAGGTGGCGCCAGGACAAACATCGGTTCCCTCCCTACCAATACACCCACCGTAATTTGGTTATCAACCGTTCCAATGAGATGAGATTGCCCAGCATTCAGGAGAAGGAGTATATCATGGGATTCCCCATCGACTATACGCTGCCCAGCGTAGCCAAAGGTAGCAGGGGTACCGAGGCCCATCTGGATGTTCGGCACAGTTTGATTGGCAACAGCTGGTCAGTCCCCGTAATTGCCTGGCTCCTTGCTCAGCTTTTTGGGCGGCTGGGTTTGTGTCCACTCTACAGTCCCCAGGATATTGTCAACTTAGTGTGCCCATCTGGTCAGGTTTACCTCCAGTCTCGGCTCTGGAGGCGGCCGTTGCGACCGGTTCGCGGACCCGCGGACGAACCAAACACCCCCATCGTGCATAAGCTTGCCAACCTCATCAGTGTCAAAGGTGAAGACATATTGCTGTCAACCCCGTCCAGCCAGCTTTGTAAGTACCATCGCCTTAGGGCATCCGTACCGGCGCGCATCTGGCGGTGGCGGGTAGTAACGGGCTGGAAATGGCGTGGTCAAAAAGAGCACATTAACTCACTAGAGTTGCGTGCCGTACTCACCTCAATGCGCTGGCGGATCCAGCACCGCGGGCAGGTTGGTTATAGGTTTTTACACCTGACTGACTCCCTTGTGGTGTTGCACAGTCTGTCCCGCGGCCGTTCCAGTTCCCGCAAACTTCGCTCATCCCTGTCTCGAATCAATGCCCTCCTACTGTGTAGCTCATCCCAAGCCCTCTGGGGCTATGTGCATACCGCGCAAAACCCTGCCGACAAGCCAAGTCGGTGGGGGCGCCATGTCAAAACGAAGTTTAGGTATGCCTAAGAGGTTCCTTGAAGGAGCCACGCAGTCGGAAAGGGCAAAGCAGAGACAGAAAATTGGCACCTTGCGGGAACTCACGGTGCAACCAGCAACAAAGGCACGCTATAGCAAGGCGGTTGACGGCTTTTTGGTTTTCCTCAGTCAAAATCATATGGTTCTTCCCAAGCAACGACAGCATTTAGATGGCCTAGTCTGCGATTATCTGGAGCACCTGTGGTCACAGGGTTATGGCCGGGCACTTGCCAGTGACACTGTGGCGGGGCTCCAAGACCAGGATCCTAAGGTTAAAGGCCATCTACCTGGCGCATGGCGCTTGCTCAAAACATGGAGCCTCAATGAGGTACCCAACAGGGCACCACCATTACCTGAGCATGTATTGCATGCGATGGTGGGTTGGGCATTTTTCCATGAGCACTTCAGTTTTGGGGTTTCTCTTATGCTGGGATACTATGCTATGTTGCGCACAGGTGAACTCCTGGGTCTCCGAGCTACACACCTCTTGTGTGACAAAAGCCAAGCTAAGGTCATTATATCACTGGGTCTGACTAAGGGTGGCAAACGGCAAGGGGCCGCAGAGTCCTGCGTTGTTGGCTATGATGTGGTGGTTAAGCTATTGCAACAATGGCGGTCCATTGCTTCACCTACAACAGGGTTTGCTCAAAACCCAGCAAGATGGCGTGCTCTGTTTAACCAAGCCCTCGAGTCTCTCAAGCTCACTCACTTTGGCTTTAGACCATATAGCCTCCGACGAGGAGGAGCCACATGGTGGTTCTCTCGTCATCATTCCCTCGATAAAATCCTAGTGCAAGGGCGTTGGCAGGCGCCAAAAACTGCTAGGATCTACATCAACGAGGGGCTTTCAGTGTTGGCTGAGCTTCAACTTCCCCCATCCCTTCCCTCCCTCTCTCCTTTTCTCACCTTTTTTCGGAATCATACACGGTCCCCGTCTTTTAAGACACTTGAGCCTCCCCGCAAAACGCGTGGAAGGTCAGGGGGCCTTGGAAGAAAGCTTAAAGGAGGCAAGAGACAGAGAAAAATCTGCGGTGACGGATTGCATTAATTTGTGGTACATTGATCTTCTTTCCTTCCTCTCTCTTTCTCTCTTCAAACCCTGACCTCGTGGAGGGGAGGGTTTGGCCCGAATCCACCAGGGGGTTTCAAGGACTCATAGTGTGACCGCGGGTTTGGCCGGGTCGACACCATCTTTTTCTCTCTTTGTGGTATTTCCAATTTTCTTTTAATAACTAATCGCTGCGGAGTGGAGATCGAAAAAGTGAGGTGCGTTGACTCTTTGTTTCCACGGCCCCGGAAATAAAGAGTAACCCCTAACTTTTTTGTTATCTCCTTAGTGTCTCGGCTTAAGCTCCCTCTCCTCCCCCCCTTTTCTTTTTTCTTTTTACGGAAGAAGAAAGCTTAAAGGAGGCAAGAGACAGAGAAAAATCTGCGGTGACGGATTGCATTAATTTGTGGTACATTGATCTTCTTTCCTTCCTCTCTCTTTCTCTCTTCAAACCCTGACCTCGTGGAGGGGAGGGCTTGGCCCGAATCCACCAGGGGGTTTCAAGGACTCATAGTGTGACCGCGGGTTTGGCCGCGTCGACACCATCTTTTTCTCTCTTTGTGGTATTTCCAATTTTCTTTTAATAACTAATCGCTGCGGAGTGGAGATCGAAAAAGTGAGGTGCGTTGACTCTTTATATATATATATATAATTAAATATATATATATATTAATATGTATATGTATATATATATATATAGAAATGTGGGAAACCAAAAAAAATCATAGATGAGTGGTTGTAAAAACCATCCCTAAATGGTACGTTTGTGGCATTGAGTGTACCACATTAATATATATATATATATACATATGTTGTTTTATTTATAGTAATCTGCAAAAAACAGAAAACCAACAATAAATTATGAATATTCAACGGGGAAACTGAGGATAAACCATCAATATATTTTCAGACATACCCATATACATATACTTACTTCATCTTGATTGTTTGTTTTGGTGTGTATGCCCATTTATGATGCATACACGTATATCTGACTTTGTTCATATCATGTTCTTTCTGAAAGGATATTGGTTGTCAAACAACTGGATAAAATGGACTTGGTGACCTGGACCAGTTTTGATGCTGCTAATGTACCCGCAACTGTGATACAACAGATATAATATGGTTCAATATATCTCACATGATTTCATTTGATATCATACAAAGCAGGAGCGGGCCCTCTGTATCTGATCCCCCTCATCTTGAAGGGCCACTTTGAACAGAACCCAAAATTGAGCGGTGGCTCCTGTGTATGGCACATACTTGTTCATGTGAGGGCCCAAAACCATGCAAATCAGCAGGTATCATTGATGTGACCTCCCCCATCTTAACTGCTCTTAGCTGCTCTAAGCCCTAAAGAGCACTTGAGAGCTGATATGAGCAAGTTATGAATTGAGTCCGTGCCTCGTGTGTGTTAAGAGCGTTCAAGAGGGATTAAGAGTCATTATGAGAGGCGTAAGAGGGGTGTAAGAGTCGCTATAAAGGATTATGAGGCCTTTATGGGCTCTTTGGAGTAGTTTTTTGACTGACTTGCTCCCACCCCAGATCAGGAGGGTCACATCCCACGGGGTAGAAACTGCTCTCTACGACAATATGATATAGTTTAATATCATTATAACACGGTTCAGTATAAACAGAATTATTTGACATAATACATCATAATTATAGATAATTATAGTATTCATAGATATTTACAGTCTAATTCAAAAAATCACCGAAGATTGTCTGAGATTTTTACCGACGGGTTTGCCGCTGTGAGGCCACTTACCTTCAAGCCGTCTTCGGCGGCAAAAAGGGCGACGGAACGGATGGAACTCCTGAGCCCGGTCCAGTGGCGTGAAGTGGAGATGATTACAGTGGTGATTTCCATGGGGAAGAGGTGATGAAAAATTGTGATGAAAAATGGTGGTTTCGATTTCATGGTGTCATGGTGAGATGTTGATTTCACCATCTGACATGATTTAAAGATCTTGAATGGCTATGTTACCATCTGTGGGGATTTCATTTTGGTCCATGGTTTCTGTTGGCTTTGAGGACCTCTAGCCATGGCGTTCCTGAACGCCATGGGATATCTTGCTATCCCCATAGTCGAGCCTCCAAGTCCAACTATGGGATAATATACCAATGGCTACTTGGGTCTTCGTACCCCTTCATGAGATCCAGAACATATGGCCCTTTATTCTTATTGATCCACGACATCAACACAACTGTGGCCCTTCCTTTATACACCAGTCAGTGAAAGTCACCCCACGAAAAATGGAATGTATAATAATGTATAACCCCATATAACCCCATAGACATAACCATCAAACTCCATGGGGGTTCTAGGGCTTTAACTGTTTGGGTCAGTCTCCATTGCTTCAAAACGCGCGCGTTTCGTTTCCGTCGGGAACAGCTGGACCCAATCCGAGGTTTTGGGGTTGAAAAACAGATGAAACATAGGGGTGAACACAAGCTGAAATCCCAAAAGGTAAAATCAAGGTGGAAATTCAAGTACCTGGGAACAAGGTGGTGCCCCAGGTTCGTAGCTAAGTGGGTTCATAGTAGATATATCTATAGAGTTCCCCTCTGATTATTCAACAGTTTGCTATGGAAAGTTGCCTATTGATGATAAACATGTTGATTTACCTGGCTATAAAATGATGTTTTTTCTAGATTTTTCCATAGCTACGTTAGATAACCAGAGGGTCAAAGTCATGGGGGTTTCTAAACCAACTATATAGCAGTTTAGAAGTGGGGGGAGCCACCTTGCATTGTGTTACAGTTGAACTACTGGTCAATCCCTAAGGTGTCAGCAACATGATGGGGGTTCCACAAATGGGGGTGCCCCAATAGCTGGATGGTTGACAATGGAAAATCCAATCTATCAATGGATGATGACTGGGGGTACTTCTATTTTAGGAAACCTCCAAAAAGATCAACTTGCCATGTAGAGGAGAAACCTCTCTACGGTAATTTTCATGACGTTACATGTTTTTTGTGTGGAAAAAAGGGTAAGGAAGGAGTCTTCCTGCTCCCGAAGAGTGGGTCGTGAAGCAGCAGTCACTGCTTTGGATCTAGCGCTTATGCTGCTGTTCCTGCACATCAGGTTGGGGCCAAGTATGGCAGAGCAGTGTCCGCCGTGTCCGCGTGCAAAAATGAATCGCTGCAGCTGGAATCCTTCTCACGTATGATCTATGATCTGGTTGGTGGTTTGGAACATTTTTTATTTTCCACAATATATGGGATAATCCTTCCCATTGACTTTCATATTTTTCAAGATGGTTAAAACATGTTAAAACCAGCAACCAAATGATGATCTCTCGCCCTTGGAGCTAGTGGGTTTACCGCGAAAAACTGGTGTAAAAGAATAACCTCAGTTGACCACATTGGATGTGGGGATAGGTTCAACCCCAGAAATCTACCCATTGTACAACTAGTTTGTTATACCAATATCACCATCATGAAATTGGAGTTAACTAGTTCGTTATAACTACCATAAACATCCGTAAACCATATATTTAATATTATATAATATATATATATTAGTAGTAACATTTATTAACTTATTAGAGTTATGTTCACCAAAGGTAAACGGTCCCACATCACCGTCCCTTGACGGCCAGATCTTCGACTACCTGACGCTGCCCCGGGATGGTCAGATCGGCTACGACGAAGCTTGGCGACGATTTTGGTGCTTTTGACCCACTTTTTGACACCCTTTCCCACGAATTTCTGGTTGGTGTTTGTTTTGCAGTTTTTTTTTAAATGTTGTTTTGAGGTTTTTTGAATGTTTCTAAGCCTGATGTCTATACACAATGTTCATTGGCGGTTTGAAAGCGCCAGTTTTACTGGGCTCACTGGCGTCCAGGGATGACCGATGGAAAGATCCACTGTGAACATGCTGGGTAAATCGACTATAAATCGGCCATGTGAAAAATTGCTATGTTAAATTGCCAGAGGGTAGATATCAAAATGGTGGCCGAATGGCCCAGAATCAACCGCAGACCTTCCGTACCTTCCGCGCGTACTCGCAAGCGTTGTTCCACCAGCTTGCGCCAACTGGGGATGGGGGTTATTCACATCCAGCGGAATCCAGCGATTTTGTTAGGGGACCATCCGGGTACCGTTGGCTTTTGACCCATAACCATGAAAATATATGAAAATATCTTCCGTAAAGTTACAGCTGTTACCCAGCCATCCTATCCATTTACCCTCTGGTAATGACTAACATAGCTATTGAAAACTGCCCATAGAAATATATAGTTGATTCACCTAGCTATAAGATGGTGGTTTTCCATTAAACATTGTAATTTTACCATTAACAATTGTGGTTTTCCTATTAAGAATGCTGATTTTTCAGTTTGCTTTCTGTATGTTTACCAGAGGGTAGTATAGGCTATTTCTATTGCATTTTCCAAAAGTGGTTTCAGCCATCCTATCCATAAGATGGCGATTTACCTATTTATAGTTGATTTACCCAGCTAGAAAATTGTGATTTTCCATAGTTTTTTTGTATCTTTACCAGAGGCTATTTCGTGGTATCTCCATCTTTCGAGGTATACACCGTGATCAATTTCATTCTCACCATGTTTGTTGGTTATATAATGTTATTTACCCATTATATACCCATTATATTTCGTTCTATTTCCATCAGCCAGGATTTCCTGAAATTGGCCAGTACCAAGAACGGCCTCATCTACCCCGTGGAGGAAGAGAGACGCGCCTTGGGCCAGGACGGAGCCGGAAACCCTGGGTATGAGTTGATACCTATGATACTACATTTATAATATTTTATAATTGTAATAGAATAATATTGGAATAGAACAGAATAGAATAGAATATACTATAAAATAATATATGGTATGATATTATATAACACAATATAATATAACATATATAATATAATTACACAACGGTTATTCAAGATAGCGACATTTGCCCATTTATTATAGATGATATACATGATGTTTTACGGATTATATTTTATATGATATTCCCATTTTCCCGTGTGAAAAGGGGAATGGTCATGATACTCGCATCCATAGGGATTCATAGCATCCAATATACGTTTTTTTGAAAATAGGATACCCATATCTCATGAAAAATCATCAGTTTTCCATCGTTGAACGGCCATGAATGCAGATATTTTTCATGCCCAGTTGTTGCAACAAAGCCATTTCCAACAAAACCAGTGGTGTAGTCCCAATGATTGATTGATTCATTGCCACTTTGATCGAACCCTCGTGTCTTGTTGGTTAGCTAACTATCTAATTCATATCCACTACGAATCCCCAAAAAATTGTCTATTTAATGCCACTCCACATGGGTGGTGTTTGAACATCTGGCTACCCCTAAACCATTGCTTTCACCCTACTAAACTAACAATGACCTACAGCTTAGATGATTGCAGGATCCCCCATGATTTGATTCTTGATATTCTTTGTTACCATGTGGTCATTTAACATAGCTATGGAAAATCACAATTTTTAATCGGTAGATCATCATAAATCATCTATAAATGGGCAATTTTCCATAGCTATGTTAAATAACCAGAGGGTATATCCTTCGTATATGATAAGTGTGTCTGAAAATAGGGTACCCCGGGTCTTTCCCCAAGTTTGAGGATGAATCACCAGCATGTTCATCCATTTTCCCTAAGAACTGACCGCGGATTTAGGGCAGTTGTTTCTGTTTTTTTCCCACCAATACATCATGGGTGCTTTAAAAAAACAAACGACATATATCTCCATTAACATCCATGAACTATATCCCCACTATAGATGTCCCAGAAAATATTCACCTGGTTGGTGGTTTGGAACATGAATTTTATTTTTCCATATATTGGAAATAATTAATCATCCCAACTGACTTTCATATTTTTCAGAGGGGTAGGTATACCACCAACCAGTCACCATTTTCGGGAAACATCACCATTTCTTTGACACCAATACCCGCAGGACAAGTCCATCGACAAGTACCTGAAGGAATAGCCCCCCGCCCGCCGTGTTCGATCCAAACAGCAAGCGCACAGCATGCGCATCCAGCGCACGGTATAGATTCACATGCTCATATTCATGCGTGCATGATATTATCATATATATATATGTATTCTATATATATACATAATATATAAGTATATATCGCCACGGAAAGTATTCTTATAGTCAACTATACAAATAGATGTAAAGATATGAGTTCATTTGCCTTGTGATCAATCCAATTGTTGGAGAAGGGACCTGCTTCTATGTGTTGGTGAAACAGCCCTGCATTTTCGGGATATATAATGTACCCTCAGGTTATTTAACATAGCCATGGAAAATGGTCCCATTTATAGATGGTTTTACCTATTAAAAATGTTGATTTTCCATGGCTATGTTAAATAACCAGAGGGTAGTGCAAAGAATATGTCTACATTCTAGTTACATATCATGAGAACCATGATCTTGATGATAGTATAAGTGCAATGTGGTCCAAAGTGACATGATCATGACAGAAGGTGAGATAAGATGCAAGTAACGTCAATTCACAAATACAATGATATGAAATAATAACATATTCATAGGATGATATCATGCAAAGTACATTTTTTATATGGATACTCTTTGGATCGAAATCACCTGTGCTGATCGGACCCGGAATCCAGTTGGCAACGCTCCAGACCCAGGGTACTTATATAAATCTATGGCATTGGGTGGTTTTCAATAGGATTCCTGCAACTCAATATCACTCGTGTCATGTTTGACGCACTCAGTACTTCATATCACATATAGACGTGTCACGATTCTTGGTTGATACTATGTTCAGTAGCTGGTGGCCCAAACATGTTTTGCAGTTTCGCAACGTGACTGGCGACTCGATATCCGCTAGGGCTATGTGGGTTTGTTCGATGAAAATCTCCAT